GAATGTGAAAGACAGGTGAGCTCACTTGTCCTGTTCAGAACACAGTTGAAAGATCTGCCTAAAAAAATTTATGTGGGAAATGGAAAAAAAATGAATCCACTTGTCTTTAAAACAACAGTGTAGTTGGTCTGAGAGCTGAGCTGATACCAGTAGGAAACAGATTTAGCCAAGTTTGAACAGTCCTGTTATCCAACTTTCCTATTGCACTTAAAGTTAATTTAAGTTATAAAGTTAGTTTAAGTTAATTTAAAGAAATAAAGTGAAAGTCCCTGTTTGCTTAATTTCAGAACCTCCAGGGTAGCTGGTAACTTAAATGGACAAGATTCCAGAATTCTGTGAGAAACTACAGAATGTTTTCAAGAATTGGTGTTACAACAGGAGGAATACTAGAAAAGCAGGGGAGAAACTAAAATAACAACAATAATAATAATAGTAGTGACAATAACAATAACAATAACAATAACAAAATAACAATAACAATAACAATAACATCATTATCATTGTAATTCTTATTATGTGCATTTTTGCCTCAGCGAAGTTTAGTGAGATTCTGCTAAAGAACTGTATGTGGTGAATTTCCTATCAAAGATTTGTAAATACTTTAAAAATTTTTGTTATGATTATTTACAAGCTAAATTAAATTATTCAATTTTCAGTAGCCTCTATATAGTTCTTCTTTCAGTTCTTCTGTAATTTGGATTTACTTCAAATTCTGCACAAAGGAATTGGTATTTGTAAAATGTTCTGGTTAGGCTGGGATTTAAAGTACTTTGTTTTCATGTTAGAATATTTATTCTTTTATAAATCTTTGTTAAATTATTTCATACTTTTGATCTTGTTGGTAAAAAAGTTTTAACTGGATTATGAAGCAAAAAGTTTACATTTTAAAACTATATCTTATGTTTTAAAATAATCTCTTTCAAGAAAGTTATGTAAATATGTTCTACTTGTAGAACTCATAAATAATTAGTGGAGTTACAAGCTGTGGAAGGACAGCTCTTAGTCCACCTTAATAATAGTTAAACTGGAAATGCAGATGGATAACACAGTTATAGCAATCCAGAGTTTCTGAAAATAAATGTTATGTCTGCTGAAGAAAAGCAGTGAAAAAGTAAATATGTGATTGTAATGAAGGGGCAGGGGGAAGAAGAATTTTAAAATTATGTAGAAGCAAGGCTTGAGCTTTTTACCTTTAAAGCAACACAAATGAAAGCTGTACAGAAATAAAGAGATGAGTTTGTCAAATGAGGCAATCATAATTAGTCCTACTTGCACCTTCCTCTGCCAGGTTGGGTTATGGTGCTGGGCTCTGCACTCCGGTGGTCTGGGGTGGGGCACAAGTTCTGCTCATCCACACTTGTAAAGATGGGACAGGAGAGGGAGGAATTTGTCTCTTTGGATGCTGTTCCTTCATCCACTTCTGAGCATAGGCTAACCCTTGAAAAGATGTAACTTCAAGCTGGGGAACAGAATATACTCTAATGGGGAGGGCCCAGAATCCCCCACAGACATATTTTTGATTCAAACCTTCTTCAGTTGGGTAAGGCTGTCCACAGCTTGGAGTGCTTGGAGCACTGAGATCTGGGAGACTGTTCTGTGAAATGGGATGTTTTAGAGACTTTTCCAGTAAGCCTCTGAAATGATCCACTAAGCATGTGCAAATACCAACTTTCAAAGAATTTAAGCACAGCCAAAGCAGAATAAAAGACAAATATGTCTTGCCAGGTTTCTGTTTTTTGCTCGGAAGCTGAAAATAATGCAAACCTTCTTCAAACAGTCAAGAGATAAATAAAACATATTCTTAGCAACCAATCCATTTCCTGACAAAATGTATCTTTTTATACAATGTAGAATTTTACTTAATTATTCTAAAAAGCAGTTGGAGACAAAGGAGGGGGAGAACTAAAGCTCACTTATGTACCTGGCAGAGAAATTAAATAGGTAAAATAAAATTGTACAGTGTAGTTTTTTTAAGCACCTTTAACAATAAACTTTATTCCATCTGGAATTGGAACATACTGCATTTAGTAGAAAGGGGTCTTAATAAATAGCTGCATAAACTTAGAAGTATTAATTACTCCTTCAGAGATTTCTTTGAAACTTTTTTTTAGTGCAGGAAAGCACATACTGAACCTGAACCTGCTTCTGATTAAGTCAGTGAAAGCAGGACTCTGATAAACATTTAGTTTGACAAAATGAATTCAAGATGTTGGAATTATTTTGTCCATTTACTAAACATTTTTCCTGAATCCTCCATTCAGTTGAAGATAAGATTTTAGTAAGTCTGTTACATCTTCCTGAGAATTTTTTAGCTAAAGGTAAACTAAATGCATCCAGAAAAGTGAATTGAATTATATGCACTACACAGAAGGTAACATGTGCATTTCTGTAAATAAATCACATAGGGATATATTAAAGTAATCCCTCTGCTTGTTCACACAGGATGGAGCACCCAGGATAATACAATGTATACACATGGTTTTGTGAAACTTTTTATTGGTTTGTATATCCTTTTTTATTCTTCATAGACTACCAACAAGTACAAGATGTCTTTTACTCATGCAGAAAAAAAGTCTATTTTTGAAGGCACTACTTTAAAAATAGTTTTAGCTAATTAACTTGCCATGTCTGTGGATGGGATGCCATTTGTTACAGAAAATAAATTAGGGCAATAAAAATACTTCTCTGCACAGAAGTTTTCATGCTAGTTTGGAACAAAAAATACTAATTTTACCAAAATTTGGTTGTTTATATTCTTTGCCAAGAAAATAAGAGTTAGTGGACTTAGTTTTCTGATTAAAAAAAAAATTATTTGATTAAGAAAATGTGATTCATTTGACTGTGGAAAGTGGTTAAAATGGATACTTCTTAAAAAGACTGGGTAGGTGAATGAGTGATTTTGCTTCTAAAATGCCGCTGAAATATTTGCACCTGTGGCAGTGATATGTGGCTTCCTGAAAAAAAATTATTGTAACTTTCACGCAAACGAAGAGGAAAAATCCATGTGTGAACTTTCTAAGCTGGAACTGCCCATTAGGTATCTGTGTGCTGATCATACTTCAGCAGGAAGTCCTGATATTTAAAACTGCCAAGTGAACACGTGGGGAGCATTACACTGTATATGCAATGAGCTATGCAGTGTTTATTTTGTGTAGCATTCTTCTGCTCCCTTAAATACATACAAGATGGAAACTCTTAGACTTTTTTTAACCTTTAGCTGCTATACTTGTACAGAAAGTACTAAACAAAACCTGGCAGACTTGTAAACAACCAGAGTTCATTTTATTTCATCTAACACTGATCACATTTCCAGTAGACAATAAATATAATGCACTGCTGACAGATGTGTAGAAATGCATACACAATTAGATGAAGAAATTGGGTTCAGTGCAGTTCAAATCTCAGTTTATGCCTTTGTATTTCCTTGAATATGGCTGTAGAATTCTCACCTGCTGATGCATAGCCTGCAGTTTTTTGCTGCTCATCCAGAGTGCTGCTGGGCAGGCTGTCCTGCCATCGGCGTAGCCAGAGTGCATCTCGTTGTTGACTCAGGCATTGACTTGAGTAAGTGGGATTCTTGGCTTCATATGGCTTCAGGTAAAGCTTTCATTTATTTTGCCAGTTGAGATAGAGTATTTGCTACATTTTCTCAAATATATTCAAGACATGAAAGCTCTGGATCGCTATCTTGGGTTAAATGAAGGTAATGTGAGGGAGTAAATAATCCAGGAGATCAGCAGAACTAGGAGCAGGGAAGCCAGAAAATTTCATTTTCTCAAGGGGTAAAAAAACCAGATTCAGCCAGCAGACCCTTATTTGATGGAAAGTTAGTGGGGTTTTATTTGTTTGTTTTTGCAGAGAAGAGGATGTGTGGAGCACAGAAGACAGGCAATTTCAAAGTGAAACTTGAAACAAATTTTTAAGATGTTGGGTGTTGCCCTTAACGATTTGCCATTGATTGTCCTGGTCAGAATATGAATACCTGGGAGCTGTTTTTACTTAGCCATTCCAACTGTTCATCTCTTTCCTCTCCACCTCAGCCTTCTACAATCTAATTGGGCTTTTACATCCTCTGTAAGACAATCTTTCTCTTGGTCTTTGGAGTATACATATGGTAAATCATTCTCTTGTTACAGATGGGCCGGCAACTTTGCTTATATATAGCAAAATTGTTTCTCTGGGGGCAGAAAAATCTGTGTAATTAATATATAAATGAAGCAAGGAATAGGCGAGAGCACACACTGCAAATTGGATTGCAATTACAGGTCTAACAAGAAATGTTCCTTTTCTGCTCTGTCTTTGTCTGAGAAAGGCAGATCTGTTGTCACTGCATGAAAGCCATCTACAGGCCCCCAGTGTAATTGTGACGCTGGAATTCATTGCAGTCTGAATCCACTTGAAATTTTGCAAGCTTCCCAGAAATTACGCAGAAGAAAACAAATATCAAGTGATCCAAGAAGAATATACACATTTGTAGGAGTGAAGAATTTTCCAGATGTACATGAAAGTTCTGTTCATTCACTTGTATGGTCTGTTCCTGTAATTTAGTGTGGGTGCAGTAACTGCTGGTGGTTCATAATGAGAGGCAGAAGTTCCTGTTTCAGCTTTCTGTGTAATGCTTGACTTTTCACCTAATTTCTCTATTTTCCTCAGAAATATCTGTCTCCCTGAATTTGTTCATTTATCTGTCCATCCATATATGTACACTACCTTGTGCACAAACTCTGTGGTGTGTTTCAGTGGCAGTTTCGTAAGCCTGTGTCGCTTCATAATACCTAAAGGAAAAGGGGAAAATAGTGGCATTGTTGCTGTTACCTGTTTTCCTGGGTTTGGCAAAATGCAAAGATGTCAAAGGAACCTGTACTGATTTGTTAGTCTGGATGAACTGAAAACTCTCCATATCAAAAAAAAAAAAAAATAGAAAAAAAATATTATAGAAAAAGCAGATTATTTTAGATAGCATCACAGTGCATTAATTCTATCACCTTGGTTTTTAACAGGTCTATGGAAATGCAGGATCTAGCCAGTCCTCATAATCTTGTTGGAAGCAGTGATGCACCAGGTAGTTCCAAGCTGGATAAATCTAATCTCAGTAGCACATCAGTCACAACAAATGGAACAGGAGGTAAGTATAAGACACAGCTGGCACACAGAAAGTTTTGGCTAGTTTTCAGTCTTATGCATTTTTTTACCATAATTTCAAGAATGACTATATTTATAAAATCCAACAAGAGTTATAAAAAATTGGCAGTCATACAAGTGTACATTTCTAATTCCAACATCATTTCTTTTATTTGCACCAACTGAAATAAGAGGCAGAACTGAAACAAGGTACTATAGTGAAATAAGGAATATTTTTGAATGGTTGATTTGAATATGGTGTTAAATGTTTGCGTATACCTTAAGTTGGTAACTTAAAAAATAAACGGTATTTTCCTGTGTCATACTTCCTTGATGAGTTATAATTTACTCTTATACTCTGACTTACTTGCATTTATGTTAAATTAAAATCACTATCGAGAAGTGCATCAAAATTAGACTTGGGTAATTTATTTATTTTTTTTTCTGAGGAATTTCAATTCTTGGGAGGTAATGAAAGTTTCTAATGAAGAGATTGTTAGGTTTTCCTCAGCACTAGCTGGTTATCACTGCTGAAGGTGATGTTGTAGGGGCATGCAACCACCATACAGATTTCATTTTTCATTCCAATGCTTTCAGATAACCAGTTCTGCCATAGTGGGAGGCAGGGTGCCACATTCTGAGGTGCAGTCCGTGAAAGTGACACCATGGATATGAGTCAAACTAGAGTTTCTTTTTTAGAGTTCATACATCACTGTATATTTTAACAGTTGGTACTAAGAAAATTTTTTTGGTTTGCTCTTTCTGGCCACAAGGTAGAGTATTTTATTCACTTACTCTATTTAAATAAAAGTCTGTCAATGTCAATAAAAAGTGGATGTGCCTGGGAGGGTAACTGAGCTCTGCAAAGAAGAGCTGAACCATATTTTTAAACAGAATCCTTATTCCAGAATAAAGAGAAAACTTAAAACATGCTTTTAAAGAACACTAGTAACTGGATGCCACTATATTATACAATGTGCATAAATAAACCAGTTAAAATAATACCCATAAAACCAATACAATTATGTTAAAAGGCTTGACTTAGAGTGCCAAAACACTGATTTGCCTTGAAGACTGTTCATTTACATTGAGCAGACATTGGGAGAATGAACTGTTGTTACCATTCCTGTTCTCAGGAGACAACATGACTGTGTTAAACACTGCAGACTGGTTGCTGAGTTGCAGTACTCCCTCCTCTGCAACAAGTATGAGAGACCCTGGTACAGTGCATGCGTGTGTGGTGTGTCCCCATGACTGCTGTGTGACATCTCTTTGCGTTTGCTCCCGTCTTTTCTCATGCAGTTTGAGTTCTCAGGGGGTTCCCTCTCACCCCAAGCAGTTTTTTCCTACCCTTTCTCAAGGGCTTTTCCCACAAGCAGAAAACTGTTAGGAAGTTGAAACAAGTAGTTATCTTACAATGCTCTGAAAGTCATTTGATGAGCAAGGAGAATTTAACCCGCTTATAATTAGCTTAGCTGCCTACATGCTCTGAGTGACTGGGATTGTCTCGTGGTGTTCAGCATTGCTGGGAATTGCCAGGAGTCAGCATTGGTGGAAATCAGACCGATGGAATTTTGACAGAATGCCCATTTGCTTTTCTTTTGTTTTTAAGTAGAGCACTGCATGATTACCTGAGCACAAGTCAAGGCTGACAGTATTGTTCTTACTCCTACTGAGGCTTTCATTATTAGTCAAACCTTCTGTCTAATGTGCTGCCACATGTAACTTGCCACTTTACAAAATTTTGGCCACATTTTCCAAGCTGTTGTTTTCATTTATGAGTTTCCTGACACGTATTATTAATTGTCATACGTTTTAAGGATTAATAATAACTCTATATGTGACATTATTGCAGTGCATATAGGATTAATCATAGGTGCAAACATGCATCACCATGTTTCTCTACAAGTCTTTACAAAGGTGCTTAAATTGTGCAGGCTTGGACTAAAGTGAGGAAGATTTCAAAAACTTGCCCTTTTAAGAAATGCCTCAGAATTACCTTGCCATTTGTAAAACATATATGCAAAGAAAATTTAAAAAAAAAAAAGAAAAAGAGAGAGAGAAAGGAAAAAACTAAAAAAATTGATGAGCCCAAAAGATCATTTGCACTAGAATAGGACATTCCATGTGAATGCTTCTCCTCAATTACAAGATTTTAAGTTTAAGAAAGACTGAGGTAACTTGGTCTGCACCTCATTTCAGTACGTTCAGGTAAATGTGGAAGGTAACAATTTAAGTACTAATTATTAGTAGTGAGGAAATACAGTGTGTTACTTGTATTAAATGTGATTTTCCATAGGCAGTAGAATGTTTAGAACTGTGCTTCTGGTTGAGTATATTCCCAGGAAAACTCTAAAGGCTTGCTAAAAGAAAGAGGAAAATCATTCCTATGACAAGCTGTGTGGTTTTTTGATTTACACGAGCTTTTAAAATCAAATTTGTTTGCTGTAACTTCTGTTGCATTTGCTTGTCTTCCTTCATGCATAGTATTAGCACCTCTTGCCCCTAAAACTCTGCATTCATTTTCAGTCCTTAACATAGAGGAATACTTTAGAGAAAATAAAAAAGGGGTCAGAAGAGCAGCAGTCATTTTGATCTGCTAAGTCCTTTTATCAAGGCTTTATTGTAGAGGCTGTTGCTTTTGAGAGCTGTATTCTGAGCTAGCCTTAAAATAATGAAGTTGGACAAGATCCCTGGAGGTCATTTGGGCCAAGCAGTGCTCAGAGCAGAGCCAACTTTGCTGTTAGATCATGTCACTCAAGGCATTGCATTGAATTTTCCTCCTACATCTATTTGGATTTTTCCCTTAGTGCAGCTTGTGTCTGTTCCCACCTGTTGTTTCCCAGGGCACCTTTTGAGGTGTGTGCCTTTGTTCTTTGTCATCTTTGCACCTTCCCATCAGACAGCTGTGGGCAGCAGTTAGCTCTCCCTCATCCTCTTCCTAGGACAGAACAAGCCCAGCTTCTTGTGTCTCCTTGTACATCGTGTGCCCCAGCACCTGATGGTGTTGGTAGCTCTACTCTCTCACCATGTTGTCATGGTCTAAGGCCAGCTGGCAACTAAGCAGCACACAGCTGCTTGCTCTATCTCAGCTGAAAGCAGAACAGGGGAAGTCTTCACTGTTAGCGGCACTCAAATGTATTTCCAGTTAGAGATTGTTTTTCATTTTATTTTCACTCTTTCAATATGTTAAACAGCAACAAAAAATAGCTCTCTTGAATTGAGGTTAGAATATTTTGTTTTTCCTAAGTTAGCTTTGTGCTTTTTCCCCCCTCTTCATTTAATGACATACAACATAAAGAAAAATGGGTAATCGTGAAGATCTCTAGCTCCACTGAAGAAGGACCTTGAGGAATTCCTTACTGTCATAAAATCTGAATGCAGAAATGTAGAACTGTTTAAAATCAAGCACATATAAAAACACTTTCTGTAGGTATTTTCCAACAAAACTCAGTGCCAATAAAATGTTTTTCCTCAAGTACAGGAGAGAGTTTCTTTTGTTTTAGATTATTTGCTTGACAGGGAAAGAAAAAAGATGGTGTCTATTCGTGCTGATGGCAGTGCAGTGCAGCTGGCATTAACCAGATCTAGACACAATTCTAAAGTAAACATTTCAATTCATGACTGAAGTTTTTGTTAAACACAGTTAAACACATACTGTCTTCTTGGATGTACAACTGAACATTTGTAGCTCACTATGGAGAATAGTGAAGTACCTTCTTGAACAGAAAGAGATAAAGGTACTAAAAAGTACTTTTTTTCATGTGGGTAGATGCCCAGACTTTACAGAAGTACACAGAGGCATCCATATGCAGTAATCAACAAATAAATTAATGTAGATATTTTTGGTACTTTGTGCAACAATACATGTTCCACATGATTGAGAAGTTTATTGGAGGCCATCATTTTGTGACAAACGACCCATGAACTCTTTCTTGATGTGTTTTATTGATATGATGAAAATAAAATCGCATCCTTCTCAAATAATTATAAAAATGGGAATGACCGATTGCTCGAATACTCTTGGGAATGACTTTTTTTCATTTTGGGTCGTTTTTGTCCCAGTTTTTTGGTTTTTGTTTTTAATGAAAAGGTAGTAGCTAGCAAAATGAGGAATATACAACTTGAAAAAATGTGGCTAAAATTCTTCCCTAATGATTCCGTATTGAAATAATATCCTGCTGTTTTCAGGGAGACTACATGGTAGTTTAATGAAACAGAAGCAATAATAAAAAGAGGTTTACATTCAAAAGACACACATTCAAAAATTTTTTTACTCTCAGACAGTAAATGGAAAGGTACAGCTGTGTAACTGAAACCAGAAGGTATTACTTGGTTTGTTTGGCACTGGTGCACCAGTAATGCTGGAGGGCACTCTACCAGTCACAGAGACAAATGCATCCCCATTTCTCCTGCTTGATCCAAACTGGTGTCCCTCTGAATTCAGTGCAGGTCCCTTGTACAGCTGTTGACATCAGCAGCATCCCATGTGACTTCCTGAAGTAAGATGCATTAGGCAGTGTGTGAGTGGAAATGGGATGTGGTTTTGTAGGAGAGGTAACTCACACAGGGCTTGTCTCAGGCAGCTTTACTGGTGCAATTTCTGATCAACAAGTCACGGTGCTCACAGACACAGGGAAGAATAGCAGAATGGGTCTGTAGGAGTTGTTCTGGACATTTTTCCAATGAGGAAACTAAATCCTTTATTTAGCTCATGCACTGCCTTTTCCTCTGCAGACTGTATGAGGGACAGTGAGCTAGAGGGCAGCTCAGGCTGTACTTGGACTGAATCAGCCTCTGAGAGTGCCTCTCTATCTCATCTAGACATAAAGGGAGACTAGTAGGCACCTTTTATACTCTTGATTTAGGTGACTTGAATCTGAGCCACGGTTTTTAAATACATTGCCAGCTCAGAAATATGAAATTCCTCCCTTTCCCATACTGTTGCCAGTGCAGTCGAACATGGATGCAGTGATGTTGACAGATGGGAGCTTTGGTCAGCTTAGCTGAGGCCTCTCAGAGGCGTCAGGTAACCAGCTGGCAGAGAATGCCTTTCCTTGGCGTGTGTTAGACCTGCTGGGGGGCTCTGCCAGGCTGGCTGTCACAGCAAAGGCTTCTTCACAAATCCCAGGCTGTGCCCTCACAATCTGGATACCTGACATGCAGCTGTGGTAGTTGCTTGTGCAATTTCATTGCCCCCTCAATCTGTGCTGCTGGGCACCAACCTGTGATATCTGTAAGCATGTGATGAATGTCCATGGCCAACCCTAACTGACCTTCATGAGGAAATTGCCTTAGTATGCTGAGGCTTCTGCATTTGCCAGTCAGACAGCTAATAGGAGCTGCAGTTTATTCTCTGCTGCTGTTTCTTACCACATCAACTGGATGGGTGGCTCCCAAATTTCACTACAAAAGTCCATGCCGAATGTTCTGTCCAGGTAACATTAAATTACAAAATCTGTATTGCCTCTGTGGTGCTTTTTGTGCTTTCAATTACAGCTTGGATGGTAAGACTGCATGATGAGCCCTAAGAAATAAATTTGAGTTCGGAGTAGACCAAACTGTTTTGTAACCTCTGAGTAAGAAGCTGACTTGTCATTTGTGTCTTACTCCAGCTCTTTGGCTTTTTTTTCTTTCCAACTTCTCTCTTCAGTTATGGAAAACTTCTTGCTGGTGACCCAGCTCAAAAAGGCCCCCACAGACCCTATAAAAGGGGAAAGGGAAAGGCAACATGCTGGCACTGTGAAAGTAATTTGCTTCTGTATTAGCATGAAACCATATTATAATAGTTTTACATGTCAGGCAGAACTATTTTTGTTATGTGCTATATCCCTTGACAGCTAATGTTTCCTTCCTCTGTGCTACTCTTAGGAAATTGTTAGAATCAATAAGATTTAGTTTGAAATCTCCCCAGAAGATATTCCAGTTGCTAAAACCAATAGCTGGATGAATGTACAGATGCAGAGCTGTGCAGATAAATGGGCATTCCTGTCAGATTCCTGTCGATTGTCTCAGTATGGTGCTAGAGAGAAGGTTGCACGTGTGCTTGTTTGAGCTGGACTACCACTAGTGAGACTGGCATGAGTGCTCCAGTACAAATCTAAAAGTAAAATCTCATGTCTACTTATTCTTCTATGTAGTGTCTCTTCTTGCAGTCAAAACAGAACCCATGAACAACAGTGAAACAGCAACAACAACTGGAGATGCATCGCTTGACACTTTTACTGGGTCAGGTAAAGCCATAATAAAATGACATTTTGTTAGATGCACATTAATGCAGCATTTATAACCCTCACTAATGAACATTTGCATGGAAGCAATCTCTGCAAAGTTACTATAAAATATTATAGTATTTTGTACTTAATAATAATAATCGTAATAGAAATAATAGCTTTTTCATTTTTGTAAATGCAACTCAGAAATTTACGTGATGTGTGATCTTAAAGAATGCCTAATAATGATGCCTAAGACCACTGCTGTCTGCAAAAGTCTTTAAAATGATACTGTTATTATGGTACTGTAGATGTTTTTTCTGAGTGTTAGTCTTATATGATACTAGAAATAAAAAGATGAGATTGTATTTGTAACAGCCAAACTAATTTGAACAGTTTCAAATCTTAAGGTTTATACCTCAGTGCTAATCCTTTTACTCCTATTAGCATTGTGTTAGTTTAAACACTGACCAGATTGTTGTGTTGGTCTCTTTCCACTGGGATGAGCTACTTCCTTTCCAATAAAATAGTTTTATTTTAAATAATCACAAGCTTCAATTACTTCTCAAAAATTCAAACAAACAGTGGTTTAAGTAGATCCTATAAATTATTAAAATGTGATGAACTGTGGAAAAGTACGGATAATCAGCCTTCAAATAATTGAATACTGCTAATACTAATATTAAAAAGGAGTGGAGGAAGAATAAGGTTTGCAGCTGGAAATACCAGTTCAGTAATGGTCTGACTGAAATGTCACCAAAGTCACAAGTCACCAGTCCACACTGATGCTACTATTAATTTGGTAGAGTTAGGTTGTCAAGCCTTATTTAAAATATTTTGGAAATCACAATGTTCCTGTGTAATTATTTATTTTTTTTTTAAATTGGGTTTTGGAATTGTCTTTTAGCCATCAATTAAATCTAGAAGTTGATTATTCAGAAAGGTATTCATAACTAATTTCATTCCTGAAGAAAAGGTAGTTTGTGAGCTTTAGAGTGTTTGCTGTTTCTAATCAAAAAAAGGAAAACGTTTTCTTCATTATAATTATACTGAGAAGATCCTCAGATTAAAGGCTAAAATGTTCCACAAAAAATTAAATAGTCTGGCCTAAAATTTAGTCTTTCACTCTGTTTTTACTCAATGCTGAAATTTCATTAGGAATGATTATAAATCAAAAAATATCCAACCCTATATATGATTTTTTTCATTGTTGCTGAAATTTCATCAGCTTCTTCCCTGTATTTAAGGCAGCTGAGTTGTATTCTAAGGCAACACTGGAGTGCCAAGAATTGTAGCCTTCAGCTCAGGTTTAGATAACCAAGTAACAGCTTGATTTCCCCAGGTGCCACTCACCCGTCAGCTTCCACTGACTTCAAAAGAAGTCTTGAAATCTCTACACTTTAGATGTTTGGAAAGTTGGTGCCTCAAAAAAAAAAAAAAAAAAAAAGAAAAAAAAAAGGCAGGAATTTGAGCCTTGCATAATCCTTTTTCGCCTGTTAGCCACCTGTGTATTCAATGGAAATACAAACCTGGTTCTCAATTTAGTGCACAAACTGAAGCATTAAATGAGTACAGTCATTCTCAGTGGGAAATCAATAGTCTGCCTGTCTGGGTGATGTGCAGTCTTCATCATCAGAGTGGGACACAGAGCTGCCCTGATAACGCACTCAGCCATTCATAAAGATTGAATGTTACTTTCGCGTTTGTCTTTTACTTGTACTCCCAAATCAGACAATTTTTTTTGCTCTAATTTTATGGGAAAAGTGCTAAAGAGCAGCAAAAACTCAGCAAAACCAGGATTTCTCTGAGTTTTTAGCCTAACCTGGATAGTTGGGAAGTTTAGTGGTTGCCAAAGACAGTAAATGCGGAGTAGTAGACAGATGTCGTTTCAGATGAGCCACCTGCGACTGAAAAAATGCGTAACAAGGCCCAACACTGAACGGTTTGTTTTTTCCTGAAAACAGTTTGTGTTTTCCTGAAAATGAGGGACATATATGTGTTCCTCCCAACTATGGCAAAGTCATGATGCCAGCACTTTTCTGTGTTTTATGAAATGAGATAAAACATTGGTGAAAAGAGAGCTGGTGCTGAGATGCATTTGAGAGCCTGCCATGCAGAAATCCTCTCCTTCAAACACTCTGCCCATTAAAATTGATTTCCCTGCTCCAAGGGCAATCAAAACACATGACCTACCCTGGAACTGAGCAGAAGGCTCAACAAGCCCTGTGGGGTGTAAAGTAGTCATCTCCGGCCCTAATGACCAGCTGTAAGTGATGGTCAAACAGATTGTGTGAGGAATAGGGCAGGAGAGACAGATTAGACTTCACAGAAAACTGTGATTCTGTGAACTGTTGGTTGAAAAGCTAAGAGGATAAAGCACGTAGTTCTCTTGAATTTAGAGTGGGAGTTGCCCTGGTGGCCTTGCCCTGGCTACTGGGATTGGCAGGATCCTGTTCAGGGCTGCAGCCCATGTGTTGCAGCTCATGCTCAGGGCCCCGGTTCCCCTGTGCTGCAGAGCTGCCCCAGCAGAATCTGTGCCTCTGGGCAGGTGAAGAGTCACACTGTGCATCCCCCTTCCTCCTCCTGCAAAGAGGAACAGTTGGTAATTAGTGTCCTCAGTTTGCAGCTCTGTAATTCTGCAGCACACTCCCACTGGGCTGGGCATTCACAGGCCTGGGAGAGGCACACAGCCCTCTACTGAGATTTTCATGCACTGAATTTGTTGCAGCTGCTGTACTCTAATAGTGTGTATATATTGCTTACAGTAGTGGATTAATTTGAGAACAGTTTTATCATTTTAGTGGAGTGGAGAGAGAGGTATGTGATGTTCTAATCGTTTTTATTTAGTATTTATTACACACAGGTTATAGAATACAGTTTTTAGATATAGGAAACAATTTCTGAAGGCTATAAAGGTGAAGCTAGGGAATGTCACTGCTGTTTAACCTACATAACCTCCCTTATGCATAGAGATTATGATGGTACTTAAATGAGGTCCTTTTAACCTAACCTTTTTGCCCAGAATTTTACAGATGTGTAATGAAAAATGCAAAACTCCAGCCCACTTTAATATACTGAACATGAAATTAAAACAGTTAATGGCCATTTAAACCCTCCACAACCACTTTGGCCAGTTGAACTAAGAGAGTAACTGGTAAGAGCTGGCTGTCAGCTTGCCCCCTCTGTGAAATAACATTAACTGGGACTGGAGAGATCAAGGGTCTTATACCTGCCCTGAAGGGCATTCCTTCAGTAATTTCAAGTAGTGAAGTCTTAGGAATATTTGAGTTTTTCAGAGAATAAACAGTTTTGGGGTTTTCTTAACATTTTTTTAGCAACCCAAAAGAGCATTTAGCCCCGTTTATATAATGCCTGTATAAAGTGCCACAAAACCCACAGCAGTCTGCCTCCACCATCTCCTCCACTGCCAGCAGTCCTGAGAGAAGGGAGATATTAGGAGATGTTTGGCTATCCAGCAGCCAAAGCTGTTAAAAGTTTGATGACCCTTAAAATTAGTAGTTTTATCTGTGAGATACAGATGTGGTCCACAGGCTCCACTCAGTCATAACTTGTGCTAGTTCTCTTATGCGTATTCTCTTATGCTAGGCCTTACATCTGTGTTTCTCAAACATCTCATAGTCTCAAATGTAGTGGACAAATTGCTGGAAAAAGCTACAGAGAAACAGTGAAAAGAACAGACTTTTTGCTCTTGCCTCTTTCTCTTCCATATACCTGGTAGTATTATCAAGGAAAATTTGGGATGAAACCAAGGAAATTTAAAACCAGACACATTCCAAAAGTATTTTATTTTCTTGTCTGAATTTTAAAAAAATAAGGCATATGCAGAAAGAATTAAAAGGCAGGCAGGATAGTTTTTGCTGAAAAGTATTAGGTTTTGATAGCTCAAGTGATTGAAATGAATAGTCATTAATTTTTTTGTAGTTTACATAAGGTAGAGTGGCATGGTAAATGTGCTTTAACCAAATTGATTAATTGACTGAGCTCTCATCCAGCAAATGAGCATACAAAAAGTAAAGCAGTATAGCAAAAATGGTCAGATAAGCCGATAATGGATCGCAAAAGTTCCTTGCCCTGAGAATCACCAAGGTCAGTCTGCTGCTATTGCTTGTCTTTAGAAAGGTCACAGAGCTACAACAGGGAAGGCTAATTACTCATCAAGCCTTAAATAACCACGAGCATTATTTAGAGTTGTGTGAACCGGTTATGTTGATAGAAACAGCTATAGGTTTGTCTGGGAATAGCTGCCTGCACACGTAGTGGATTGCTCTGTGGAGCAAGCCACAGAAAGGCATTCTCAAAAAAACCCTCAAAAATGATATCCACACAAAATTAAATTTAGCATATTTCCATCACAGGCAAACCCTCCGTATCTTTTCAACCAGCAACTGTTTTATAAAATCTAATGGCATATTTTTTAAAAGTTTTTATCCAATTCTTCTTTACTTTCAAACCATACTTAACTGCACATTTTAAAAAGAAGTTAATTGTTTTTCTTCTACTGTATTTTCCTTTTAAGTCCTACACATTCTAAATGCATTTAAACTATCTCTAAAAATATGAAGTTCTGTGTATGTTCAAAGCAATAGATCTGAGAGACGTTAATTGGGGCTGGATGTAGAAATGTATCATGTTTCATAAAATAGTTAGAAACCTAAACCTATTTGTCACTTATAAAATTCTGAATGTTCATTTCTACTACCATTATGAATAACTCAGGAAGAGGGTACACTTTGAAGTACAACTATGATTGATTAGACTAAAGAAATTCCAGTGCTTCATTGTGTACTTCTTTAATCTTTTGAGAAGTGAATGAACAGCAGATGGCCTAATAAAGACACTCTGTATGTTTGCCCAGTATGGATTTGCTCTGAAGGGATTGGTTCAACACTTTAGAGTACATATATTTGGAATACATCTGTCTTAGTCAAGACAGATGGCTAAAGGAAAGGGAAACTTCCAAACACTTGGAATTAATCCAGTGTGAGCACTGCTTCTGGATGAAATTTTAATGGGTTATGACTATTGTTCTGTTAGCTTACTTGGAAGAATGCAGCTGTGAATAGTATATAGATACACACAATTTGGATGGCTACTGAACGGGACTGTTTATGCATACTTTAAAATAAAAATGCTGTTGTAAGGGATTATATTCTATTTGGCCTGTTTATAATGGAAGTTAGTTGCTTTCTAGTGCTCAATCCAGTATCTTCCATCACCTAACCTAACTAAAATTAGTCACAACCATATAAAACATGCTTTTCCCATCCAGTGTTAAAATCTAACTTCTTGTTAATGTGAGACTATGAAGGTATGTCTATGTTATTTCAATCCCATGAAATATGTTAAATCACAAGATTCTTTTTTAACTACCTTTTTTAATACAACTTGCAAATTTGAAAGATCCACAGTGTGTGGATTTCAGGTAATGTATGAAATACATTGCCTCTGCAGCATACAGTCAAGTTGAGGAAGCGTGACACACCCATGCTAACTAAAGAGTTCTGTACAACAGTAAAAAGTTTGGGAGTTTTTAAATTTTTTTTTTAACATGTTGCAGTTCTGGTGACATCTGCCTCCTTGAAAAGCTGTCCATTTCAATAGGCTTCTCTGTTAATGTTGCTGCTTTAGTTCACACTGTGTGCCTGTGTAGGTCTCCTGGTGTTTCTAACTGCTGTGCTCTTGTTTTCTGTTTTGCAGTAATAACAAGTAGTGGCTACAGTCCCAGATCAGCGCACCAGTACTCTCCACAGATATATCCCTCCAAGTTAGTGTCTGCACCTCTTCTACTCTTTTATAGACCTTGGCTGTGGGCAGTTTTGTGGTTTGTTGCAAACAAGTGTTCAGCAGGAGAAACAGAGAAAAAGGAAAATTCTTAAGCCATGGTACTGACTCAAGTACTGGCTCCTTCTCCAACTTTTTTTTCCTCGTGTGTCTACAGAGTAAGATCCTGCTTTGTGCTGTATTGCTGCACAAGAAACACCCTTGAATATCAGCACACAAGTAAAATAATCAAACTATTGCATTCTCAGACATCAGCATATTAACAGCATGTGCGGGGAATATATACAGATATATTTTGAAGTCAGTTTATATATAGAACTCACAATTGCATGCACAAGTTGCATACTGAGGGGGTAACCCTGTCCCTGACCCTTCCACGGCTAGCATTGCCAAACGCTTCCAAACATTCCACAATCATGAACCACCCTTTCCTTGTCCCTCTCTGATATCATAAGATTTAAAAATCAAATAAATTGGATTAGCTTTTAATCTTATTATTTTTAAGCCAACGGATGTTGTTAGAAATAGAAAATTTTTTCTTGCCTTTTTTTTTTTTTTTGGTGGGGGGGAAACTGACTCTTGGGCAATCACACAAATCCAGGAGTGGGAACTTTAGGAAGAAACACCAAAGGTGTTGTATGAAACTGCTGCAGTTGGCAGTATATTAGTTTTCTCCTCCTGTGATCAGTGTTGTGTACAAGGGTTCTTGATTCCAGTATGTTTGTTTCCATGTATTTGATACAGCTATCGGTGTGACTCTGGTACAGAGAAATCTAAAGATTCAAGAGCCAATTAGGCTCTTTCAAGTTGGTTTTTTTTTAACAAATTTGCAATCATCTGATATTAGCCAAAATTTATTAATACAGAAAGTAGGTGCCTGAAGTAAGAGCAATCATTCCACTTAAAACAGGTTTTGGCAAACTGTGTTACATACCTTTGGCCAAATACATTACAAGGTTTAATAGAATCTTTAATCTACTGTTACAATTTTTTGGCACCTAAATTAATGAGTAATCCTTTTCTGATAGTAAATGCTGCCAACTGTACTGAATTAATTAGAAAGAAAAAAAAAAAATTAAAATTGGAATCTGAAATTTAGTCATGGCTTTTAATGGCTAGGTTTCAGTTAGCGTAATTCTGCAGAGTGTGTTTATTCAACTTTTGGTCCATAAAGTCTTATTTGACTTACAAAACAATCCAAGAAAAATGTTTCTCTGTATATTTTTGCAACTCTGGAGGGCAAAAAATTTAAACTCGATTTTATTCAATCTCTCTATAAAACCTCAGTATTCATAAATAAAAGACCATTTTTATTTCCATTCTATTTTCCTAGCCCATATTTTCCGAACATTTAAAGCCCATCTGGTTACCGAAGTATTGCTGTCAGTATTTTTCATGCTGCTCTCAATGGGTAGGATCCATCTCCCATTGAAGCTACATGTCTGTTGAAGCAGAACCTACACAGATGACATAATGTACTAGATTCAGCATTCGCCTCTGTGTTTCCTCTATTCTTCTAGTCCAAGTTTCACTCCACTGGATTAAAAAAGTGTGGGGGCTTTTCTAATTGAAGCGTTCTGCTCTCAGCTGAAAGAGGTTAAATCCATATAAAGGCATGCAGCAGTGGCACAGCCCACCTAAAAGTGGACGCAGTAGCTTAAGAATTAAATTGTAGTGATGGGACAACATAAAATATTCACTGTGCCTTGGGGAATGTGGGACAGAGTGTCTTTCAGCTTATTTCAGTGGGGGATGGAATAAATCCCAGAAGAGGAGCAGTTGGCAGAATAATGAACTGCCTTTGGACATCTTTAAACCTTTTTCTTTACTTTATTGCTTGAATCAACATACAAAGTATTTGTTGCCACAGTAATGCTATTTTTCCTGATATTTAGGCCCTATCCGCACATTCTTTCTACACCAGCAGCTCAAACAATGTCTGCCTATGCCGGACAAACCCAGTATTCAGGAATGCAGCAGCCAGCCGTCTATACAGCCTATTCCCAGACAGGACAGCCCTACAGCTTACCCACTTACGGTATTTGACCACTTCTTACTTCACTTTACGTAGAACTAAAAGCAATGCCGACTGGAATGGTGGTTTTTTTGTTGGTTTTTTTTTTTTTTTGCTTTCTCTTTTGTTTTTCCCAACTGTAACAAAATATTTTAAAGAATCAGTTGAAAATTAATTTCTTATACAGATTTGGGTGTAATGTTGCCAGGCATCAAGACGGAAAGCGGGCTCTCGCAGACCCAATCTCCACTGCAGAGCGGGTGCCTCAGTTACAGCCCAGGGTTTTCCACCCCACAGCCAGGCCAAACACCCTACTCTTACCAGATGCCAGGTGAGTAGCCACCTCTAAAATTTAAAGCTAAGTATTTCTTCCCAGTGCTAATAGGAGTATGCATATTCATTTTGATTCTCTGTTACTTTAGATCTGGTCATGGAATGCAGTCCCTACTTGAACCTTCTTTTGGATTTTTTAGTGGAGTGAAATCCACTAATTTTTTCAATGGCAGGATTGGAAGCATTTGTTATATTTACTAATATATACAAGACTCTTCTCTTTGTTTTTGTGTTCCTGAGTATGACATAATTTGATACTTCTCCTTGGATTAACATAATGTTTTAGAATTTCTCCTTATTTGATATTCTTTCATTTACTAGTCAATTAATAATTCCTTGATTACCCTTTGATCATCGATAACCTATTTTATTTGGATAATTTTTAAGCTTCTTATACAATGATTAATCTTCTGCATATTACAACCTGCAATGTGAATCATCTGATTTATGTTGAAAACAAGGACACGCCTCATTACAGATTGATTAAAAACACCCGGATATAGTCTTTTGAAAATGTTTTTGTTTGGCAAACGTAACACTAAGGTATTAAAAATGAAGGCAAAAGAGAAAAAACTGTGTTTGAGGAGAGGTGAGAATGCAATAAACTGAAAAACGCTTTCTAAATTGGTGAGATGACTTACTGCTGATATCTTCCTTGCATGGTGTGAAGAGGAATGTATGCTCGTATGTGTGGAAGTAGCTTTTAATTTCTTTTAAAGTTTCATTACAATGTTTTATGCTTCTAATGGAAAATAAAAGTTGCTTTTTTGTTCACATTCTTCTGCATCTTAACATGGAATATTCTAATTAGAATTTTGATTCACAAACAAGTTCTCACAGTTAATTGTATTTCTTAATTTTAGGTTCTAGTTTCACACCATCGTCCACTATTTATTCAAACAATTCTGTTTCAAATTCTACAAACTTCAGTAGTTCACAACAGGTATGAATATTGCCATTTTTATTTGCCAGTTACAAAAGGACTTACAAAAACCAGAGATAGCATGTTATTTTAATTTAGATCTGTTATGTTGAGTGAGACTTACTGTGGTTCAATGCTATTTTCTGTGGAAAATTATCAAAGTCTTACTGGAAGCCTAGTTACATATTTTAGCACTTAAATATTTCAGCAGCTTCCCTGTAGTCTTTTAGTAAATACCTTTAAATTAAAAACACTAACTATTCTTAAATTTAAAAAAAACCAAAAAAACTAAACCAAGCCTTCAAAACACTAGCAAAAGTCATATGATTGTACACTTAGAAATATTTAATTGGGAAAAAGGTCACTCATTACTGTATTAATTGGGTGCTCTGCTGCATCTGCTGTTTCAGGATTATCCATCATACACAGCTTTTGGCCAAAATCAGTATGCACAGTATTACTCAGCATCAACATATGGTGCATATATGACCTCAAACAACACGGCTGATGGCACTTCATCATCATCAACCTACCAATTACAGGACTCTCTCCCTGGCTTGACTAGTCAACCAGGTACAGATCTACATTCAGGTGAAAACAATTTTTGTATTTTATTTGCTGTTTGTATAAAAACAAGATTTTCATATTCAGCTTACATGGATATTGATATTTTAAGTTTATGCCTTTCAGAAAACTTTGTGATGTAAACTGCCCAAAATAAGCTTTTTTTACTGTTTAGTTAGGAAACCTGTCCAGTTTGTTTGCTAATTAAAGAAAACTTTTTGCAGACTGAGATGATTGTCAGTATCACTGGCAGTGGAACAGTGCTGTTTCCACCTACATATTCTGAATTATTGCTGTAAAGAATTTAAAACAAGATACCATTTTTAATTTAATTATGCCTCTGCCATGCTGGAAAGAGCCCTTGGGCTTTATTCAAATGTTTACAAGCCATGCTCGCTAGTTCACTAATTTAAGTAACCAAGAGCAGAGAAGTAAGTTGCTAGCACCATTAAAAAAAAAAAAAATTGCATTGAACTAGTTGAATTTGCAAGAAGTGCATTAACAGGAGACGTGAGGAGGCTCCCTTTGCCTGCCCAGCCCTGCCCTCTTGTGCACAGCCACCACAGCACAGTGGCCTGCTGCTTGTATTCCTAGGACATCCCTGGAGTGTAGTGGCAGTTCTTCATTTTTCTTCAGCATTTTTCTTTGTCTTAGAGTGGTCTCTTTCACGGTCACCAGCTTCACTCAGCCAGTGTGGGCAATATCTGCCACACCCACAGACTGTGGGCATTAAAAGACTAACAAACTGGATTTTGGGTTAGGCTCTGAATAGGGAGGAGTTAATGCTTTAGTCAGAAAATCATGTTATTGCATAAATCTTCCTAATAAATGCACCATCTTACTGAAAAATACAGTAGAAAGACTAATGTATTATTGTAATGAATTTGTACAAAGGAAAGGTAACTCTGTGTAGAAAAGCATAAGCAAGGACTCAGACATAATACAATCTGCTCAAATTTGCTAAAAATACTGGAACTTTAACTAAATTAGTTGAAATTTTTCCTACCCAGATGTTTTCCTCAAGCTGATTTTTAAAGTGTAACAGTGCATGTATTTGTGGGTGTGTGTTTGGGGTGGGGTATGGATATGGATATAAATATTGATATGGATATGGATATGGTGACGGAGAGATACATATTATCTTGATTTTTGATGAAAAGTGTAATGTCATTCAGTAGTCTCAGAATGCAAGTCTAGGAAGAACCTAAAGGTAATGTGAAATTTCAACAGGTGGAGGATATCTATAATAGACACTAATCATATGTAAAGAATTTTTAAATGAGAATAGAGTGAACTCACAAGTTACAAGTTATGTTTTGATAACTGTGTATGTCCTGTGTACTTTTACTTGCTGCTTTGTTATTCCTTCATATTCTTATTTGAGAAAATCAGACGGTTTCCCATGTTGTTTCTTCCCTAGGTATTTGTTTCCTAGAAATGCTGTGTAAACGTGTCATGTATTATTATAAGTACCCTTAGTATTGAATAGAATTGGGTTGTGCTTCTGAGTTTAACAAACCTGCCCCCATCTGCTCCTTATTTCTGTGAAGCGTTGCAGTGATCATGCGACCCTCTGCTGAGAGTGAAACGCCCACTTTGTGAATGCATGACATGCCTGTGCCCTTCTGTGTCACGGTAAAAATAAATTTCCATTGGTGAGGAACAGCGTCTTGGAGATAATTTCAGATATCACAGATCATACTGCAGTTCTTTAGCACTCACCATGTTCACTTGCTGTCAAACAAGTCCTTAAGACTTACTCCAGCAAAAACCTATGGCTAAACACAGCAAGGCGCTTCATTCTCCTGGCATCTCTACTAGTTGTTAATTCCTATATCTAATCAAAGCCTCTAATACTATCTGCACATACAGGATTTCTCATTTTCATAATAAAGCTCCATCAGATCAAGAGTCACTACCACCTAAAGCCTTATTTATTGACTATGTAAAGAAAATGAGATGAAAATTAAATAGACCTTACTCTTTCTACTGTTCGTGACAAGCATAACTACAAGTCAGGAAAAAAAAGCAGGCTTGTAACGCTGAAGCTGTCTTCTGACTGCTGGTAAGGATATGTTGCAAAAGTCAATCTATAAGGAAAATATGAAGTGGCTCAGAAATTTATCCATTCCACATCTGTGTAATGCTCAGCTCCTTAAACCAGGAACTTCTCTTCAGAGCTTTCATTGAGCCTGCCTTACATTAAGATTTTTCAAAATACACTCATTACCACAGAGTATTTGTGAGATAAATAGGTATCTCCAAGGGCACTTCATCTCAAACAGGGATGAACTGGGAGGTGAGGTCTCAGCAGATAAGATAGGCTACTGGGAGGTGAGGTCTCAGCAGATAAGATAGGCTTGAGTATATTTGATGAATACATGTGTACATTTAATCTGGAGCAAATAAAACTCTAGCAGAGAATATAGGCCTGAATAAAAGCTTCATGTGAAGGCACCTTGCTGTTATATATCCAGGGCTAGGGGAGACAGATCACCGTAGGATATTAGCTCCTGTTCCATTACTGGGATGCAGCAAAGCTTAATTTGGTACCCACAATCACCCTTTGCAGCTTTTCTGGGAGATAGCATTAGGTTTATATTCTGACTGTACAAACTCTTTTTTCCTTCTTAAGTCGTAGAACTGTGTTTTAACAAGGAGGAGGGGATGTTCACATCATTGAACTAGAGGTGGAAAACAATGTCCTGGATATGAAAGACCACCTCCATTTGTAGTGGGGTGCTGTAATTCCCTTTGTAACTTGGTGCTGTAATTCCCTGTCCTCTAGCTGAAGCTGCTGCAAGGTCTCCACAGCATGAAAAGCATGAAAAGCTTAATATTCAAGTGTATGAGTATGTGTAAGAACATCTGTGAAAAATAGGTCATTCCATATTCTGGTTTTAACATTTTCTTCCTGTTTTCTTGGATTACTGGCACTGCTCACAGTCCCAATGTGAAGAGGCTATGAGGTATAATTATTAGGCATGTGTTGAATATTGAAAAAGCTAAAAAAATTTCAAATATTGTAATTAAAATTTCTGTCTATTTGGAGCTGCAGTAGGAGCTTTTCATGATGGTAATGTTTTCAGTACTCATTGGTACTAGAATTTCTCACATTCTTTTATGTTGCAGGGCAGAATTTTTAATAAGTTTTCATTTTAGCAGCATTGATCTCATTTCAAAAACAAACAGAGGATAAGAAAAATGCAGTTTCTCCTTTAGGCTGCTGTTGGTAAAAAGCAAATCAAGCAGTTAAGCCTACAGTTGTTTAAAAAAACAAGCACCACTGACTTCTGCAGTTCTAAAATAGATGCATACCTTGCACTCAAGTAAGAGACAGCTGCTCATTCTGATTTAGAGATTAGTGTAATGAAATAAAGTTGGCTTTAAATATCTAGATTTTGCAAGGAACAGCGATTAGTTACAGTACTGATTAATAGATAATTATGCCATCATGTACAGCTTTGGCCCAAGCAGAAGCCTAGAGCAACTGGTAATGGCTAATGCTAAATGAAAATTGGAGTTATTTACTTCAGTTGTTGGGCAATTCCAGAGAAGATTTAGAACGGGGCGAGGAGGGAGAGGGGGGCAGGGGGTTATATTTTATGTTTGGTAGATTAGAATAAACCCAGTCATTGAGAACAGATGTTTTAATACATTACTGTGAAAATGAGTCTTGATTTTGTTGTAATACGTTGCAGTGTTTGTGGTAAGAATGTAAACATTGATTTTCACTTTCTTAGTTTTTGCCTTTTCTTTCTGGGGGTTTGGTTTGGGAAAATTTTTCCATCCAACAGAAAAAATCTAGGAAATAATTTTTGCACAGAGCTCTTGCACACTCAGAACTTGTTTCAAAGCCATTGTAGGTTTTTGCTAAATAAGGATTCTGATTTGGATGCTTCTTTACATTTGAAATTACCCAAGTACATTTTGCTGTTCTATGGGGAAGGAGCCAAGATAATGTGATCCTTACTGATTGCTTCACTGCCTGCTATGACCTTGCTGACATCAACACCATGCTGGGAATAGAAATGATGAGTCAACAAGAACTGTCTCTCTCCCCATTCTGTAGGGATGTCTGCCTGTGTGTCTTGTCCTTTCTCTGCATACCTCCATGAAAAGTCACTTAGCCTCTAAGCCTCTACATGCTCAGACCCCTTTATTCGTGGTGACCCTCACCTGGACTAACTCCAGCTGGACAATATCTCTCTTCTGCTTGGGGACCTGTGTGTTTTTCCAGATGTGGTCTTACAAGTTCAGAACAGAGCAAAAAAATCAATTTCCTTCATCTGCTGGACACTCAGAGATGCTCTGTAGCAAAAATGAAAAAAAAAATCATATTCAGACTCAAAATCAGATGCATCATAGATGATTTTTGGGAAATGTTTGTAACAAGTGTTAATTTATTCTGCATATTTGCCATCATGAGCTCTTCTAACAATTATTACCCATGGCCCAGAAATTCTCAGTTACAGACAGCTCAAGGACTTGAATCAAAATCTGTAGTAGATGTCAGATCAAAGCTGTACCCTTTCCTCCTTTAGTGAAGAAAAATCAAACCATTATTAATAGGACAAATGATGTAGGAGGGTTGGGCTTTTTTTGTCTTTTATCACTTGGGAACCTAGCCAAACTGCATTTACTGCTAGGAGTTTTGAAAGCTGAAGATGCTAAGCTTAAATGGGTAAGTTAGGGATGGGCTGGAGTGTGGTTAAGACCAGCTATGCCAAACCAGATCAAAGGCCCTTCCAGCACATCTCTGTGACAGCCCACAAAGCTTCAGACTTAGAGAAAGACAATCAGAACACAGCAAATACAACTTCATCCTCTTTCAGGTACTAACCAGAATATTGCATTTAATATTATGACTTTCCTCTGACAACTTGTGGGCTGAGGTATGGTGAAGGGACAAAAGTGAACTTTAGTAAAGATGTGTGACATGGGAGGAGGACATGAAGCTGGAAGCTGCTAGGCTGTTCTGGATCATGGATGAGTGCCCAAGTGAATTCTGGTAAAAGTAAAGCAGGATTTGGAAATAAGTGTAGCTGAAACTGAGTAATTAAAAAGCACTTCATGTTTTGAGAAACCATTAGTGTGACTTCTGAAATACATCTTTCTTGCCTATATTGATATTTTGCCTGGGCTGGTGTGTATTTGTGCATATGCACATGTATATGTGTCATTTTAATTTTTTCTTATTCTGCTAAGTAGTGTTACAGTGTTTCATTGGTAAAGTCAGAAGTGTGTGTGGCATCTACTGATTCCGTCTACATAAGACAAACCACATTCTTTTTATACAACATTTTTACATGTCTCCTGTCATTGAGTTTGCATACAGACGTATTGAACTTTGAGGAAAAATAATTATTTAAAAGTCCAGCACTAATTTTTACATGAATGGTTGACTCTACAGGGGAGTTTGACACTGTGCAGAGCCCCTCCACGCCAATCAAAGATCTTGATGAGAGAACATGTAGGAGTTCTGGGTCAAAGTCTCGGGGTAGAGGGCGGAAGAATAATCCATCACCCCCTCCGGACAGTGACTTGGAGGTATGTCTGTGGTAATTGATGAATGTTAATGTGGAGGTTTCCTCTGATGAAGTGTAAATTCTGAATACTGCAGCTGTGAAAATAGCTTAAAGCATTTTAGAAGACATCATGGTCTCAGTCTCACTATCTGAATGTAACAGAGAGCAGTAGCTGTTTTAATCCAAATGCACAATGAAACTTTACCATTCTGCATTACGTGTCTGCCAGCTTCTCGTGCAATAGAACCACAAATCTGCACTCAAAAGTGTGATGTTTTCTTTTAGTTTTTGAAGTAGGAAATCTAAAATATATCACTCAGCTTAATTACATTATGGATGCAGCACGAATATGCAGGATCTTTGTGCTTGTGCTTGTAAGTTACATCAGCAGATCTCAGAAGAGGCAGCTTAACTCAGTGAAGTATGGCTGTGCTTAAGTATGTGCAAGATCAGTGCCTTAGCAAAGAAACACATCTGCCTGATCTATGGGATGACAATTTCAAGCAGAGGTGACTTTTGGCAGCAGAGTCATTGCAGTCGTGTTGGCCACGCGGTGCTTTGCAGTGGCAGGAGCAGCAGGAGGAAGCAGAGTGCCTGTGTGTGTCACACTCCAGCTGTGGCACCAGCTGTGCTGCCTGCCCATGCTGTGTGTCCCCTGCTGCCACCAGAGCAGCACAGAGAGCCAGCAGCCCTGGCCTGCCCCACTGCCCTGCCTTCACTGACCAGCCCTGGCTACAGCAGAACACAAAATTGGTGCTGGGACTTGGCTGACAACGTGGCCCCTCCTGGGGTAGCAGGGTGTTCTGCAGGGTTAAGAAATTATTGTAAATGCCACTGCTTTTATGCAGAAAAAAGTTTTTTTTTACTTTTTTTTACTTTTTTTTTTTCTTTTCAAAGGAGTGAAGAAACTAACTTCTTACATTTCAGCATTTCTTTTGGTTGCTTGGGTTTTGGTTTTTTTTATTATTTTTACCAGTGATAATCAAAATGAGTGAAATTTAATGAAAGAAACTGAGTTAAAATAATTGATTTTTTCCTACAGTATTATTTAAATTCTACATGGCAGTGACATATAGCACTTTTACCCAAGATTTTAGTTAAATGGTAGATATAAAAAGAATCTTGAATCACTAAGACTTGCAGAGAAGTATCTGAAAGTACTGTTTATCCATTACAATTGTTTGACCCATTACATTCTGAAATCTGTATTACAGAGCTTTTGTGAAAAGCTTTCTATAGAACAAGTAAGAAATAGCTGAAGAGTTTTAAAAGTTACTTTTTACCCTTTTTTTTTGCTTTTTGGCTTTTTACCATGCATGATACACTACTATTGCTGATTCTCAGAGAAAATCTGCTCAGTTAATAAGTACTTGGTTAAACTTTTAAGACTCAGTTGACTTTTAGCCTCCCTGGGGGTGGTGGGGTGGTGGAACTGTGATGTTCTTTGTTCAATAATATTTTCCTCAATTCCTTTTTCAGCGTGTATTTGTTTGGGATTTGGATGAAACAATCATAGTTTTTCATTCGCTGCTTACAGGATCGTATGCACAGAAGTATGGCAAGGTATGTGAGCTGTGAATTTTGTGTCAATTCACTGCACCTATCTGGCCTGACTGTGAATGTGTTTTTCACCTCTGTGTTTATGGCTTTAATGGGTGAAGTTAAAGTGTACAGTAAACCCCATTTTCAGAGGGTTTCATGGTGGAGAAGTCAAGGAGAGAAATGAGACACAGACCCTAAGTACAATGCAGGAGGTAGGGCTGAAGCAAATGCTGCAAATGAGAGGAGAATTTATAGAGGAACAAGAGTGAGGTTCCTGATGTGCGTTGGAAGAGACATTGCAGGGGGATAATAGATGAAGTGCAGAAGTGGAAATAACTGACAGTATCTGGAAGAGCAGAGAAAGAAGGAACAAACTGGGTTGTTGTGTGAATTTACCAGGAAATTTATGAATAGGATGGGTAAGAGTCTGACTTACTTCAATGCCAGCTGCAGATGTTGTTCTTTGACTCCCCACCCTCTTCACTGAATTTTTGGTTCCCTTGGCTGGCTCTGGGGTGAGTAATGTTGAGAGTAAAACCCTCTTCCAGGTGGTTTTAAGCATCCTCTCTCCTCCAATGAGTCCAAAAGGAGTTCAGGTCACAGAGCAGTGAGTGGGAGAGCAGGAAGAAGAGTGAGGGAGACAAAACGAGGCAGTGGCAGACTGCAGGAGCAGGAGCTCTGGGGCTGGTGCTGGCAGTCCAGGGAATGGCTGCTTGGACAAGGTGAGAGGGGTCTGGTGTGGAGCAACAGGAGCAGACCAATGGGAGAGGTAAAGGCCTGGATAAAACAAAAAATCAAAACAAGGAAGGAGGAAAATGGATAAAGGAGACGTCGGTACATACATACATCGTTTTCTCTGTGCTGTGCTATTCAAGTGAAATTAATGCAAAGGTGCTTCTTTTTAAGAACATAACCGTATTGTCTCAGATAAGGGGCTTGTTTAGCATGTTTTCAGCATCTTTATTCCAGCCAGAATCAGATGCTTGAAAAAAAGATGTGAGAAATAGTATATTATAGAAATGCTTTTCACAATCCCCTCCTCTACCAGTGGGTTAGAAAAGTCCAAAGCCAGAGCCTGGGGAATATAACTAGAGATGGGCCAGTCTTTCATGCAATCAACCTTTCGTGGTTATTAAAAAAGAAAGTTAATAGGAAAAGTCACAGGCCAAGTGCAAAATCTGAATTTCTGGAATGCTAAGATAAGGATAGGTACTCTTGTAAAAAACAGCCTTCCTTGCTTTGCAGCTTCACAGAGCCAGATGTGTGCACTTTTCAGTACTCTGTCAAGAAATCCTCTTCTGCTGTTTTTCAGACATGGTAACAACAGTGACTTTGTCAGAACCATTTCCAGCTAATAGTTATCAAAACAAGAGAGAAACATAACTTTTGTATCACTCTGAGAGTGGCCTATAGACTACCACAGGACTTGCTGAATTGTCACAGTGATAAAGTTACTCCTTTCATTCTTTTTTGATTGTGCCCTTTGGATTTTTTATGAATCAACTGTAACACATAGTTTTAAAAGTCAGATCACATTTTGTAACTCAAAAAATATCTGTGGATAACTTTGAAGACTGTCTTGGAAACAGTAATAGAAATGTAATTTCTCTTGGTATATTAGTAATGGCATATTTACACACAGTAGTACTGACAGCAGATAAAGTCTTAAATAAACTAAAAGTGTCTCAAGGGTTGGTGAAATTAATGTAGTTATACTGCTGAGACAGTAAACAAATACCATGGATGACAGTGAAGCAAAAAGTGCTTCAGTGAAAGGAATTACAAAGTTCTTAAGTAAAACCCTCTTTTTTCGTTTGTATTTTCTCTCTATCCACACAGGTAGAGAAAGGTATTCATCTCCAGACCCTGTAAAATAAAAGTAGTAGACTTTTTCCTTCCTGTAGTGACTGTCATTGCCACATTTACGTAGAGCATGTGTGATGAGTTATTACCAGTGAAAGTCAAATATAAATATTGTTGACTGCAAGGAAGCTAGAGAAGGGAATACAGGAAGAGCTTATAATGGCTAGGCTTTAACTTTTGCATGTCATTGTAGTGTTACCTAAATTTAAGATGGGATATGTCTCAGCTTAAGTGCCTAAGAGGTTAGAAATGGGAGAAGTGAAGACTCCCACAGATAGACTTCACTCAGTCTCTGATACATGACATGTTTGGCACATATGGTCCCTATCTTTTCTGCATATGATTTCCTTTGTACATGGTCTTAATCCAGACTGAAGATTGGATTGTTATGAGAATTGAGTTGCTATGAGAGTAAATGCTTCAAGAATTGTGAGGTTGTCAACAGAAGTCTTGTTAGCGCATATGTCTTTCAAAATTACTGAGAGAGCTGTTTGTCTTGGAAAGGTGGTATAAAATAGTTGTCTAACAATGAAAAAAGAAACTAAATATAGTGGAGATAGTAAATTATTTAACTGTGGTGATTTGCTGTCTTATTTTAGAAAGCAAAAGCACCTAATGTCACACAGATGCTCAGCTGTGAGTACCTAGTTCTTCCACATATATTTCATTTTGTATAATATAATCAAGAAAAATCACCAAAAAAAACCACATAAAAATAAAACAAAAAAAAAACCCCAAAAAAACCAAACAAAAGACCCTGCAGGACAAGCAGAATTTTCCCTTTCATTTTTAATTTTCTACATGAAAATAGTGCATCTTCAAAGCAAAAACTACTTTAAGGGAAGGCAACTACTTCTCATACCAAGAGTTCTCACTTTATACTAAGAAGGAGTGAGATGCTGAATTTAGAGCTATATTAGGGAATATACAAACAGGCAAGTAACGTTCAGTTTTTTCCCATGTACTCATGGATATGAATACTTTCATTCTTTGTTTTCTCCAGCTTTTTCCTGTTTCTTTGAGTACCCGGCTAAAAAAAACCCAGAAATCAATCTTTTAATTCTTCTGTTCTGCTGCAGTTCAGGCTGCACAGGGATGCAGTGAGCGGAGGTGCAGAATATTATGGCCTGGCATAGGGATCAACATGTGAGTGCAGGAGCACTTGAGAGCTGCAGTTGTATCCAGAAATAAACACTTTCAAAAGATTTCTACAGTTTAACAAGTGGTTGGAGTAGAAGAGAAAAAGGAAAGTCAAACCAGCATCTCCTTAGGCAAGGAGGCTTCCATTGGCAGAGATATTTGGAAGGTCTGGATCCACTAGTCAAGTTTCAGGTTGTGTATTTGTCAAGAGAAGAGCAGATTTCTGATTTATGAAGCTGAGAATAGACACTCTCCTTGGTATATACTTGTTCAACACTTCACATGGTATGATAATTATTTCATGTCAAAATTTTCTAGGATAATTATTTGATGTCAGAATTTTGTAATAGCCATGTTAAAACAGAATTAATGATTTGCTGAAGGATATAGCTGTAAGTATCTCATTTAAAAATGGGGAAAATTGCTTCTGCTTATCTGGGTCCAAGTAGAGTATATCTTTAAACCCAACTGAACTGGGAGAGATTTGGCCAGAATTTGGCCAGAGTATCACTTCAACATTTAAAACATAAAGCTTTCCCAGAAGAATATTCCATGCTGTTTTCTACCTGTGGCTGTTTCTCTCTGGCATATTGGTTATTCTACTGGGCTAACACAGAAAGAGAATAAAAACTACACTATACCTGTGTTAGGTTTCAGGGAAACTGTGCAGCCTTCCAGTAAGATCACCTCTCACTTTTCAGCTCATTTGATCATCTGCATTGTACTTCATGAAACCAGTACACTTCTATTTTTAATTATTTACTGCGGTAGCAAATTGTGAACATTGGCATTGGAGCTGTTATATTTTGACTTGTGTGGATGATGACGGTTTTTGCAGCTGAGCACCAGTTGACAGATACGGTTTTCTACAATGCTGAGCTCTTAAGTGAGCATTTGTTGATGTGACAGGACATGTGTTAGGAGATGTCATCATCTCTTAAAAGTTTATGAGGTACACTCTTAGTCCCTGTGAACAGTGTGTATTCTTTGTTCCATTGCATTCCAGTTATACTTGCTGTTTGAAGGATGATTAAGCTGGACTTTTGTCTAGCTCCAAGCGCTTATATTTCATTCATTTCTCCCAGGTCAATCCAGAGGGCAAGGATTCCCAGATAAATGCTGTGACTCAAAGTGCAACCATTTAAAAAAAAGAATAGAGTTCCTTTGCGAGCTTGGAAGACGGAGAATGTGATTTCCAAGTGCAAATATCAAAAGAAATCCTCATTTGATGATCATATTTTGCCATTTTTTTAACATTGCAAATGACAGAAGATTGTCAGGGAAGCCTCATTAACCTTGTGCTCTTCTCTGGAAATGGCTCAGAAGCTTTTTACTGCTCACTGTCTGCTTGTCTGGTCATTAAACAGAAAAACTTTGTCACCATTAACAGCCATGATGACATTCCCAAATTCACTCATAAATATTCTCTTGTCCACCTGTATTAATAGTGTATCTCTCATCACCTCCAGTTGTCCTCTCCATTCACTCCCTCCTTGTCTGAGACCTCTGAGTTGATTTTCCTACTGCCTTCTAGAGAGCGTGGAACAGAAACTCCCTATGGAGTACGTGAGTTTTCCTTCATCAGCCACCAGCTATGGTTATTAAGAAGAGATGTGTTCTCTTCCTCCATTGCCACCCATATGAATTTCTCCTGGGACAAGTGAGAGTGAGGGCTGAACTTAAATCTGCGATTCCTACATAATATAGAGAAGTCTCTTTAAGCTAAAATACTGGTACTCAACTTGAGCATTTCCACTTTTGCCCAAGTCAGTTTTGATTTAAATCTGTTCAGGACAGCCACCTGTTGAAAATTGCTTCTTCAAACTTTGCTTGTTTTCTCTCTTATTTTTAGGGCTTCATGCATGCAAATTCCTTTCACAATGAATCTACCTGTCAGTCTATTTATCTCTTTGTTTTGCAAGGTTTTATTAAAGTCAGTTTGGAGTTTGCAGTTTTTTTCCCAAGAAATGAAATTATTTTGAACATGTGCTGAAACCTGACATTCCAAGACCGCATTAAATAGATTTCTTCCACTAATGGACACTCAGCTTTTCGGGCTTTATTCCAGTTACTCCTCTCTTGATCAAAACATTTAAGTATTGGTCCTCCCAGGATATTTTTATCTAGTCTCCCAGAAGGCATTCCAATAGATGGACCAGTCTGGTACAGAAGTCCACAGACAGACAGTCTGGCTCCAGTTTAGTGCCTTCATCCTAACATAACTTAAGTAATTTGTACTTAGGTGTACAGAAGTGTTGTAGCTGATCTTGATTCTTCTGCATACTAATGATATCTGGCTAACATCATACCTCTGCAGGCCAAAGAGTTGTTCTTTGTTCTGTGAATTATCTGGGGAAAACTTCCAGATATTTTTTTAATCGCTTTTCCCTCTGTTGTGTGTGCTTGTGCAGAGTAGCACAAAAAACAATTTTGCCAGAAGTTCAGTCTGCCTCTTACTAAGGTTTTCAATTTGCTGTGCTAAGATCTGTATCAAGTGTAAGTTTCTTGCTTTCTTTTCAATACTCAGTCCTTTGTGCCACTTGAATCAGTCTGTAACTTCTGTTTCAGGCTAGAAACAAGGCTTTCCAAGACAGTAAAATGGTGATTGTCATGTTCCTCCATATTGTGCAAACACTAGAAAACCACAAGACACGACCCTTACAAATCTGCTTTCTTGTCTATTTTTGTATGTGAAGGAAAGAACTTGGCAAGAGCTGGAGGGAACATGATATTTAATTCTTGTTAAACAGTTGCAGTGCAAAGTTTTGACCAATTTGTTAAGGGAAGAATTGTTCATATCTTGAGAATTCAATTCCAGCAATTCTCCCTAGCGGAAGTTGTTACAGGGAGATCCCATAGTGATTTTATGCTACACTGAAATTAATTCCCTTTGCTTTGCTTTATTTTATTTTGTGTACTGTGCCTAGCAATGGCCTTCTCATGCCTTTGTCAAAACAGGAATGTAGGAAATATAATTTTAATAGTAATAGTCAGGCATTATTGGTTACAAAACTACTATTAATAAGAAAATTGTAAGAGCTTTGTCACATTTACATCTTTCAACTATACTAAGTAAGGCAGGAAATTGTCATACATAGTTGGTAGTTTCTGTAAAAACAAATTGAATTATAACAGAAACATTATAGGAAATTTCTGTGTTCAAGTCTGCTTCTACCTAGAAAGGGGTAAAGGAGAGGCTGAGAATTAAGTCTGAGATTCCAGTTTTGGAAGCACTCCAGCAAATAACTTATATAAATAATAATGAGTTACCACTTGTGCATAAAATTATGCACATGACTTTGTGTTCATACAACTGAGGTAAAAAAACATATTGCAAATACTCTGTTATACTGTATCTAGGGAGAAGAGGTTTATAGTTTACAATACACAGAGAAGAAACACAAATGAAAGATACAAACACGTGTTTATATGTGATGACATTTTGATAAAAGCGTTATGGCTTGATGAGGAATCTCATGAGTCCGAGGTATTTTGGTGATTCGTGTTCTCGGTGCCTAACGTGAGTTTTTCTAATTTGTCAGTGGTGTTCCTTAATCATCCTCTTGGAAATCTGACCTTTGCACTTGGTGCTGCCTCCAGCCCTGTGACTTTCAAATCCAGTGAACACACTACAGAGGACAGAATGGATAAAATCCCGTTCATGGGCACTGCATTTGTTTTTTGAATCTGAAAGGTAGTCTAGACCAATTCAAGGGTCAACATAAAAATGTTTCCTTTCACTGCCAGAGAACTGGGTTTAACTTTGGATCATTACAACTTCTTGAATAATGTTCTCCCCTTCAAGTATGACTTTTTCATGAGCAAGAGTCAAAGTATGTCAGTGTTTCAGATTTTGCCACTAGTTATTAAGTGCTTGAATGCAAAAGCCATCTTTTATTCTGTCATTGCAAAGCCCTGGAGTAGTGAGTGTCTGATCCTGGTTGGGAAACCTTTCATCCTAATGCAAACAAATGGTCATTTGAGGTTTTGTGAAATTTTGTTGCTACATGCTGGTAAATATTTAGACTTCAAATCTCAAGGTATTTAAGAAGGGATTTCTGAAAACTTGCTCTTGTCAATCAGAGTTTAAATTATCAATTTTTATTTTTTTTTTCATGTTTTTTGGTGGGAAGGCAAAGCATCAAGGGACCGTTACTCTAAACCAAATGTAAGGAAACACAAATCTGCTTTACCTGTCTCCTAGCAGACCTAGAAAAGATAAATTAATTATCTTGCCTTAGCTTAATGATCTCAGGCAGTGTTATTGCAGATTGCTAGGTTTGTGGAGTCTTGCTGAGGCAGAGCAATTTGATAGTGTGAAAGACAACTCACAAACAAATGCAACATTTTGAATTCATCTTATCCAGGGACAGGATTCCTGTGTTTCATCAGCAATGCAGGGATGATCTGTAGCAAACAACAAACTTATACCTGCTTTCCACAGGAGTGTATGTTCCTGCATACATCTTTTATGAAAAGTGCTGTCCCTATTTTCAGTCTTCTTTATAATTGTTTATGTTTATGTATATGTTTACAGCCACTGGGTTTCTTCTTGTCAGTTCAGCCAGGTTGCAAATTGCTCAGCTTTAAAAAAAAAAATAATTTTTCAACATCCACAGCTCTCAGAATTTTTTCACAAACAGAGGTTCAGCAGTGTCTTCTTATAAAATTATATTAAAATAGCTTAATACTGGATTTCAAAGAAATTCCATACAGTGTTGATTTTTCAAAACACTTTGTATACATCAATTTTTAAAGTAATTCTAATACAAGTTGGAGATAAGTAATTAGCTAACCTTGTTTTTTGTTTTTTTTAAGGATCCACCCATGGCAGTGACCCTTGGACTGCGAATGGAAGAAATGATTTTTAATCTTGCTGACACACATTTATTTTTTAATGATTTAGAGGTAAGAGTCAAAGGAATGCTAGCACTGGTATTCTTAATTTTTAACTTAGTGGCTTTGTTGTGCATTAGTGTTTATTTTGTGTGACATTTCTGCCTGTGTGGTCTTTGGGTTTGTCATACTCTAAGCAGAGAGAGGTTAGCCAGGTGGCATTGACTTCCAGCAGCACCAGAGTCCTTCTGTGAAACTCAGTGAGAGAGAGAATATCTAAACTACCCATTCCTTTCTTTGTCCTGTAGCCATCTTTTTTGGTTTCCATGTGTGTAAAGTTGTGTGCTGTCACCTCCAGGGTGATAACATACATGCCTCTTATTCTTCTCTTGAAGTTCTCTATATTCATTTGCTTTCAGTGGGTGCCCTCATCTGACCAGAAGGGGCTATTCTTCTCTTGATATACCTGAGCAGCCTTTTGGCTACAGGCCCCTATTATTCGTTCAAATGTAGAATATTCTTCATTTACCTCAAGGAATGCAACACCAGAGAGCTGGGACTGTGATAGGTGTCCTGATCAGTGATGTCTCTTCCCAAGGTAACCAGGCAGCCAATGTGCTGTCACAATATACCCAGAGAATATAATTTGGCAATTGGTCAGAAAAGAGAGAGACCTCTTCCTAGGAAGTGCCCTCTGTGGGCAGCTCACCTGTCAGAATGGATGGACTCTCACAGGGACAGTGGTCTGGAAAGCAAGCTTGTCAGCTGGGCTTCACAGGCTTTTTATTTCACTCTTAGAGTCCGAATCTGTTAACATGGACAGTGACAGCCTACAACCGTGTGTGTCAAGACATGGGCTAGAAAAGCAGTTTTGAAATTAACCTAGGGGCTTTTCAGACCTTCTGCTGGTCTAATGGTTGTTTTCTTACTCAGAGTAGATACCAAACTTCCCTCCATGGACAGATGCTTGCCATGAATGGGAGCTGGAGGACTTTGAGGTTTTGTTTAGAATCCCAGAGAAAGGTCTCTGGTGAGTGAAGAGACAAAATAAAGATAAGTGAAATTTTTTCTATCCACTGGGATGTTGATTTTGTCTTTTGTTCCTTCACGAATGTCTTAGTTTAGGGTTCTTTCATCAGTAAGGAAAGCAGAAGATACCAGTCTGTAGTTGTCTTAGTCACCCCTTGCAGAACTCATTTATTCTTAGCTCTTTTTAAGTCAAGAAACTGGAATCTACTTAACCCCACACCTGAACTGCACTTCGTCCTTGCAGCAGCAGAAACTTAAGAAGGTAAAGCCCTGGACATGCCTTTCCCAGTGTTTGCTTTATTGCAGTCCTAGTGAGGCATCTCTTGACAATGCAGGTAAATTCAGTGAATGTCTCCTGGTGTCCTGTACCAGGGAGAGATTCCAAATAAATTTTTCAAAGCATTTCTTATTTATTTTTTTTTTAGCAGACCTTTGCCCCCTGCATGTTCAGATTTTATGTGGCATGAATAAAATTTAAGACATTCTGTAGAATCTGCTCTTCAATGTTGTGCTGAGTTCAAGTGGAAGAGTTCAGCAAAATGGAGCTTTGCCCTCTTTCCATGCTTCTTTATTCTTGCTTATGGCCACAAAACTTCATTCCTTTCATTATTTATTTTGTCTGTAGACCACAAGTTCAGCTGTCATAGGTGGATCATTATATTTTGGCTAATCTTCATAGGATGGTTTTAATACACTGTCCACAAACTGACATGCCAGCTCATTCCAGAGCTTGAACAGTTCCCAGTTTTAGATAAATCAAAAAATACTACTTGGGAGCAGTCTTAGAGAGTCTCGTAAATCAATCCATTTGATTTGATTAAAAGCAATTTATATATGTATTTAATAATCACAATTTCTACTAGAAATTTAGTATTTTATGGCCCAGAATTCATCTTAGTCTCAAAACTCTCGTACAGAATTACCAAAATTCCAAAGTTCATGTGCTGAAATGAGTTACATGCATACATTTCGGTATGTGTGAGAAGACCAGCAATTTTCTATCTTCTTAGCAAGTAGGATAAAGTGCCCAGGTATGTAGAGACATCCTTTAACATGCTGATGAATAAACCTGTCTGTTTAAATCTGTTTGCAGAGAAACATGGCCGTTACTGAATATTACACTGCATCTGCATGATGAATGTATAATGAATTCTGAGAATTCCCAGAGTCTTCTCTGTCCTCCTCTCTCTGTCCTCCCCCAGAGGAGCAGAGTGCTGGGCTGCTGATGAGCATGGCCATCAAGACAGCAGACCTTCAGTTCTCACTGGAGGGAGTGAGACAGGCCTTTATTCTCTAGGCAGGTAGATTGCTTATCTGCTCATCATGTCACTTTTTTGGTGGTGATCCCACAGGTCCTGTACCTTCTGACTTGCTTTCATCTTCAGCCCACAGTAAACCTCGTGGCTCTGGACAAGACAGCTGTTAAATACTCCTGAACCAGTATTCCTGTAATATGTACTACAGTCGCTACATCCTCTAAACTTCCTTTTTTTCCCCTGTCTTTCTTGGTTACAAACACCACATAGTGGGTTCTAGGAATAATAACCAAGTAGTTGAAGTTATCACATACAAAAATAAAGTTTTTCTTCCTCTATGCAAATCTGTCTCACTGCAATGACTGCTGATGCAGAAATTCCGATCTGCTGAGACGTTCCCTGCTGACCCAGTAACCCATGTTCTAATCAGCCAAGCTGCACTTTTATTTCAGGCTAGGCTGTTCTCCAGCTATTGCATTCCCAGGGTATAAATTTTAGTTTGCTTGAGAAGTATTGCTTGGGAGGGCAGTTGGTGTTTTGCCATGAAAATAGGAGTCTGGTGCTCCAGAAGTTTCACATGCCTAAACAATGCTTAGAGATGGGACTCAGATTTATAATAATAGCCAAACTAAGGCATTCTTTTTTTAGCCAGGTGAGGAATAAAATGGAGTTTTTCTTCATATCTCAGTACTAATTTTAAGACAGCATTTAGAAATGTTGGTAAGGGCTATTATACACACCATGAAAAATTTCTGGAAATTGCAAATAGTAATTCAGACATGAATCTTCCAACTCCATTATTCCACTCCACTCTCAGGTCAATGAAGAAAAATAAAAAAGAGTATTCATTTCAAACAAACTGAGTTATATTTCCATTTTTATTATTATCCTACCATATTTGAAGGAGATTTTGTCCCTTTTTTTCTCATTAGAAATAGAAGTGATAAATTTAAAAAAGGATTTATCTAAGTCTCAGAATTTTGGAGTCAGGTAACACTAGTTTTAACTGAGACTGAGACATGTATTCTGTATAGCCTAAGAAACCATAGTGCTGAATATGCATTCTTATTCCTTAATAATAGTTTTGTGTTCAACATGGTAAGTCAGTGTTTTTACTGAATAATGAAATTACTGTCCAGTCCAGGATGATAAGTGTTACGGATGATGTGTTGATTCTTTACTCTCAAATTTTCAGGCTCTAAAAATTGCTGCAAAGAATTGACTGCACTTAGATATAATTTAAATTAGCATTGCTTCAAGCAAAAGCTAGATATTATACCTAGATTCCTTTCCTGTATTTGCTCTAATACGAAGTGTATTTTTATGTTTCTTAGTTTTGGCATTGCACTGACAGCCACTGTGACTTGAGCTTAACCAGTACTGTAGCTGATGTGAAAAGTACTTTACCTTAATATTTAAATTGACAGAGAGCTTGCTTTCTTTCCTTCTTTCCTATAACTGTTTGGCATCATTTACAAGCAAGCTCAGATGCAGTGTTGTGCCAGCAGTTTCCTGTTTCTTTTGAGAAAAGTGGAGAACTATGTCAAATCTGCTCAAACTCCCTGATTTGTTTATGGCAAGCTTTTTCCACACCATGTAAGTGAGTTTGTAAAAAGTAAATGTCTTAGTTGAAGCAGATGAGTAAACAAGACAACAAAGTAAAAGAAGACAAGGGGTGAACAAGGGGTGACGGGCACCTGAGTTTGTTTTTTGGTCAGAAAATGTATTGCCAGCATGTAGAGAGGAGAGGAGCCATAGATCCAGAGGAGAAGAGAAAGGGGAAAAGGAGGAAGTTGGAGAGTGCTGTTGGGGTTTGATCTCCTGTTTAGTTAACAACCTTCTTGCAGGGACAAGGGGGTGAGTAATCAGAAAACTGCATGGTCCCCTCATCCTGTTTCTGGAGTCAATCACAGAATCACAGTGAATGAACTGTGTGACAGAAAAAATTAAACAGCTGAGCCTTTGCCGCCCACTCATATTTAACTTAATAATGAAATTATCAGCAGAACAGTAACTTAGAGTTTTCAAGGCTGGAGCAATGTAGCTGAAAGGCTTAACAAAACCCAAACAGCAGCAGACATTCCATATCCATCAAGGCTTTTGTATGCCCTCTATTTCATGAGTACACCTTCATATCCACAGGAATGGTTTTCAAATTTTTTAATTTAACACTTCCACCTGTTCCAGGGAAATCTGTGAAGATGATTAGGAAGCTAGATATTGCCCAGGTATTGCAAAATAGAGAGTCAGAATTTTCCCCAGTAGGGCTTTTTGTCTGATTTTTGAGTTCCTGCTTCACTGGGTGAAGCATAGTTGTATCTTTTTCTGTAGTGTAAATGATAAATAAAGAAACTAATCTTTTATTTCAGCTGCAACATTCCCTTTACTTTCTCTCTTCATCTGCTATTTAGATCCAAAAGTAGCTTCTTTAAAATACTCTACAGCTCGAGATAGTCTCCTCAGATAGAACTAAAATATTTTATTTCTCCAGTGAGAGGAGGAATGCTTATTCCTGTTCCTTGAACACAGCTCTATTATCCTGTCTTACTGGATTAAGCCACATGAGCAGAGCTTGGCAACTCTTTTCTTTTTTGATTTGACCTGATATTTTAAATTATGATTGCTTGTGTGATGCAATGAAATCATGTATTTGAATATTAAATGAAATGTATTTGTTTTATACAAAATTGCCCTTTTTTTTTAACTTGGTTCATTAGAGTAAAAGTCTCGTAAGTTTTTGTTCACTGCAAAGCAAACAAAGCAGAAAGATGAAATTATAATTCCCTAAATTCACACTCTAGGAACTTGTGGCTTACACATTTGGAAATTGCTCCTCTGTTCAGATTTATCTGTACAGTTTACCACTGTTGTGAGACAAAGATTGGAAACTTAGAGCAACATACCCCTGCACGTCACAGAGAGAGTGAATTAAGTGCTGTCTTAAATGGACACTGAATCTCAGATGTGTCTTTGGGTTAAGATGTTAGTTCAAGTAACTACAGAAAACAATTATATGATGCATGATGCCTTGACTTATATATTTACTTCTGTGTTCATCACAATTTCTTATATTTGTGCTGTAATCACTGTGCAGATAAGGATATTTGATAGCTGCCCAATTATAAAATCATGCTGGAGGGGAATTAATTTTTCCAATGTGCCTCAGTTCCCTCGAGTTGCTTCCATCCCTTCCAGAGCCAGGAAATGATCAAGTTCTGTAGGATTCCTGATCATATGTGATTTTCCAGCCAAAGGCACTCACATAAATTAATAGAAGAACCTGATAGGTGTCTTAACATAAGTTATGTTAACGTAAGTTTTGTTGAGATTCACCATCAGTTGCTTTTAGGGAGTGAGAAAATAAGGTTTATATGATTTTCAAGTATTGGTATACGAGGGAGACTGTAAATGAGATTTGCAGTTTTTGTGGCTTTACAGTTAAAATCATTTTACTCCCCAAAATCACACCAAAACTGCATATTACTTTTCTAAAGGTCTATTTTAACTAGTGTTTTAGACTGTGTAGGAGTTGAAGATCGCACTATTTTAAAGATGTTCATGGCAGTAGGAAACTGTGGGTGTGCACAGGCTGCCATCTTCTGGTGCATCCAGCGGCCTGCACCAGTCATTTCTTCATCTGTACTAAGGCTGTTGTGAGCACAGAGTCATTTGGGTTGGAAAATACCTCTAACATCACCTGGTCCAACCATTAGCCCAGCCCGCCGTGCTCGCCAATGAACCACATCCCCAAATGCCACATCCACACGCCTTTTGGACACTTCCAGGAATGGTGATTGCCCTCACCTATAGGATAAATTTGTCATTTGGGTCATTTTTCTTCTTTCTAACAGGAATGCGATCAAGTTCATATAGATGATGTTTCTTCTGATGATAATGGACAAGACCTAAGGTAAGATACAGAATTTCTTTTCTTTTTTTTTTTTTAAGATGAAATAATTTGAGCATTTACAGGAATACATTGTATTTATTTTCACTGTATTTTGGGTGTTTGCAGTACCTACAGTTTTGCAACTGATGGCTTCCATGCAGCTGCAAGTAGTGCAAACCTTTGTCTGCCAACAGGTGTAAGAGGAGGGGTTGACTGGATGAGGAAGCTGGCTTTCCGTTACAGAAGAGTAAAAGAGTTGTATAATACTTACAAGAACAACATAGGAGGTGAGTTCAACTGCCAAAGACTTTGAATGCTGATCACTCTAAGCTGCGTGGTGATGAGCTGCCACTCAGGGAAGGAGCCTGGGAAGCCACAGGGGGAATGGAGAGTGATGTGACTGAACCATGGGCTGTTGAAAGCTACTGACTGTAATGGCAAAGCACATGCCGTTGTGCAAGGGAAATGCAGCGAGGAAAACAGAGCAAGCTTCCATTTAGCTTCCACAGATTCCATTCTCCTCCTTCAGAGCCAGCTAGTCTTACCTTACTTATTTGTAACCACTTATTCTCCCTCAGATCTGGTGTTGTTCCAGGAAAGATATTGTATCATTTCACAGCACAAATTGTTTGTGGATGGCCATTTACATCCTACATTATCATGATCTGGTCAGTAACAACACTGTCACCTGAACTTTCTGCTGGGTACCTGCTAGTCTGTTTTCACCAGTGGATGCAAGAAAATTCTATTACTTCCATGCCAGTAGCCACTTTTGTTGACTCTGTAGCTTACAGTTTTTTCTCCAATAAGTCTGAATCTCATCTGGGAGAAGAATTTTGCTGTTACAGTTTTAATTCATGGACTCCCTTATGTCTGCACCAGCAGATTGTAGGCAATCAAGCAGCAGAGCCAAAAGAATCTGTTCTGGAGAGTCCTGTGTGACTTTCAGAGACAGCCAGACTTCTTCTGAGGAGGGGAATGTGTCAACTGACACCCTCAACAATAGACTGTGAGGACAGGGAATACTTAGCAGTCTACAATAATTGCTACAGTCACCTATTTTCTCTCTTAGTAGTTCAGTCTTTCCTTACCACAGGATGAAGCAATAGGACCAAAGGATGGTAGTAGAGGGCTGACTTGTCATACTTTTCCCTTCATTGGTGTTGTCAATAGAGCTTTTATGTATTAATAATTCTTGGAACAGGGTTAACCAAAAGTTTACTGAGTTTTCTGATATTTCCTAATGCATCTAAGATTCTAAAGCTTCTGCATTTCATAAAACCTTTAACACTGATAAGAGAACATGTCCAAGAGCACAGCACAGGGAAACACACTGGGAGGAACAAAACATTGCAAAAAAGAGTGAAGATATATGGCACACTGGATTAAGATTTTTATTGTCTCCCACATATTCTGCATCTGAAAAATAAGCCATCCTTAATGGAAAGATTTATTCGTTTGTCCTCCACATCTTAGCCTTTTTAATAATCTTCTTAGCTCATTATGTATCTGTTTATTTCTAAAGAGCTGCTAGAAAGTATCAGAAAGCAAGATTAATCCATGTATATGTATATGTTATTTCACTTTGAGTTTTTGAAGAAAGTCATTGTCACTTGTTGGCAGCATAGGGTGTGAAAGAGAAGAGGGATACTAAAGGTCAGGAAGCCTATTTCCTTCCCTTCTCTTCCATGACCAAGTCTACATTTATAATACCTTGATTCCAACAAATTCATGTCTCAGCATTCAATAGGTGCTGGGTATTTTAAATGTCAAATAACTTATACCCAAAAAGAGATTTTGAGGACTAACTTTTAAGGACTAACTGAGATATGGGAACATAAGATGTGCAGCCATTTCAGGCTGTAAATGCTGTAAAAGGAACCAGCTACAACAGGACATGAAGAGCAAGCCATCAGCAAGCAAATACATTTCTGTATATATAACCTGAGGTTATATACACTATATGCAGAGTCATAAGTAGGGCAGTTTTAAGCATAATCAGGTACTGCAAAGGCCAGTTTATTCTACAGTATCTTCTTTTGTGACCATCTTCACTTCTGATCCCAATGACATGGATCTACTTGTCATGAAGAACAAATAAAACCTGAGATTTCCTGATTGTTGAAGATAATAGATTTTCTCTTTGATATTTTTTTCGAGTTGTAGTGAAATTTAAAATAGAAACAATGACCTTAAACTCTATCTGATATGGAATTTAATTCTATTTTTCTCACTTTTCTTACATAAAAGGACTCCTGGGTCCCGCTAAAAGAGATGCATGGTTGCAATTAAGAGCAGAGATTGAAGCTCTGACAGACTCCTGGCTAACAAATGCACTTAAATCATTATCAATTATCAGCACAAGGTATGTATCTGAGTCTGCTGTATAAAAGGGTTTCTAGACATGTAATGGATATTTTTTTACATTTTAGATTACAATAAATTAGCGCCTTTAAAGAACAGGACAGGTCTACCTATGACTTTTGAATAGGACACAGGAAAATTGGAAAGTGGTTTTGTCTATCCTCATTCCAGCATTTACTAAAGATAGTAAGAAATGTCTTCTCAAATGTGTGTACATGGAAAGGGTATTGTAAAATTTTAATTTATTACCTTGTGGACAGCATTCTCTGAACTCCACAGCTCTCTGTTCTGTGCTTCAGTGTTTGTGCCTATTCACAATGTGTATATTAAATACTGTATAGGTACCAGAACATAAGGGCATTTTTCTTCTGTCCTTCCAAGCAAACCAGCATATCTTGGTATAAATCTTGAGTTCTCAGAAGAGCAAAAATCTCTTTTAACTGAGTTCAAAGTCTGAATTCCCAATATTGAGACATAAAATGTATTGTTCCTCTGAAACAATAAAACCATGAACCCTGTTGTTACTTTTGAAGCCATGCAATATGTATCTTTCCAGAAACACTAAAAAAACCTAAAATTTGTTTCTAAACCACAAAAAAGCACAACATTAAGTCATCTTGCTTTCTGAACATGTCTGGGAAAAGTCTCAGTGTCAAGTGGAAAGAACAAACTTGGAATGGCACAAAATGGCACTTATTTTCAACATAACTTTTGTAATATGCTTATCTCTTAATTGTTTATTTCACAATGTGTAAAGCACTTCAGGAGAAACGAAATAACAAATTTGTGTAAGCTGTTGTGTTTACCTCTGCATTTCTTTCTGAATTGCTAGTCTTCAGAGAGATTTTTGGTAATGAAGGCTGGTTGAGCATTGGTGTATGAGTCTGGAAAACTGTTACCCTTCACTCAGGATTGTTAAATAATAGTCTTTTGTCATGTCTTCAAAAAACTCTACAACTATAAACCTTCAGAAGCTACCTGTGAGTCAGCTAAACATTACTGATACGTTACTAACAGGAAATTGAGATACATAAAGGTGAAAATAGCAGCCTAGGGTCTTGCTTGGAATTTGTGGAAATGCCAGAGGGAAAACTGACAAGTATTTGCTTTCAACTCCATGTCCACATCGTGGTCATGCTCATGTTCCAGCCTGTGAGTGCCTAAAGTAGCTCTGCTCTGAGTTCTCTGGCCTGCACAGCTTCTCCATTCAAGTTTTCATCCTCACCATCCAATGCTAGCTTGTTAACATGATCATTCTAATCTCTCCCTCTCTTCAGAGATACTCTTACTCTTGAAATACGAGGAAAGCGATTCCATTCCACAGAGAAATGTGTAGATCAAAGAGTAGATAAAAAATAGATAAAAGAGTAACAAATGATGCTTTTGCATTCTCTTAACTTTTAATTTGCTGGTAGCTACTGACAGTTAATTGCCAGTGTGAAAATTATGTTTTCAAAGCATTCCAATACTTTGTTTTGGAGATTGTTGGTTGTCTTAAATATCTATATTTTACTAGACCCGTCTTCAAAGACCTGGTTTTCATAAACCATTGAGGAATATTTTCTACAAATCAGTCCTGTATATTTTTTATATTTTTTCACATGGGATTTTATGTACATTTTCTGTAAGTGATGGTGCTGAGCAGCTGTACTGTGGGTGTGAAAGTAAAGGCTGAGGGATCCTTAATGCGCTCTCCACATCTGGTTCACCTCATCAACATTTGGGTACTGTTTTAAAACTATTTAAACTTAAACTGTTTCTCTCATTTTAGGAGTAATTGTGTAAACGTGTTGGTAACAACAACCCAGCTTATCCCAGCCTGATTAAAAGCCTCAGAAACTCCTCAGTATGGTGCAGATAGCAAAAAACTTGCAGACAAAAATGAAGAAAAGTTTTTTGTGGATTCAAATCTGAGCAGAAATTGTGTTAAATTTGCCTCTGCTCTGATCCTCAGCTCTATGCAAGCCAGGCCACATCTTCACAAACCTTTTCCTGTGGCATTGTATGTCAGTGATGGGAATGACAGCTGTTACTATCAGAACCTGTGTTGCTGGGTAACAAAAGGGCTCTGCCCCATTCTGTTCACAACCATGTGCCTTTTGTGCCTTATGGTTTGGGAATGTATGGTTTCTGGAAATTGCATCCAAAACTGTAAACCAAGAGAAGCTGTCATGCCAGTGAAATGTGATGCAGCATACAATGACTGATAATTTTGCAGATTTTACCAATCATCAATTCAGGAATGCTTCATTTCTATGCCTACAACAACCTTTATAGCATGGAATGTGTCGCTTCATTGACAAAGGCACTGCATTATGTTTCCTAAATTGTTTTCACAAGGGAAAAAAGTGGTGCATATTCTAGCAGTGTCAGGCAAAACTATTATCTCAGTCATTGTTTAATTAAGTCTTTTCATAACTACATCACTCATTTTTGAAGATGCATTAGAATTAAAATTTCTACTCTCCTTGTAAGAATATTACTACAATCATAAGGAAATATTTAAATTCTATTATTCATTCACTAACCTATTCATTTTTTGCAGTGCTGCTAATTCCTTATCTTAGTGGCTTTCCTGAGAGATCTAGTTTTACCTGAAACATCTTAGTGTCGCTAGGGAAGCCCATTGCTTCTTACCAGATTGGGCTTTAAATCCCAAGGCTGGGAACTTCTTAAAAGTAGTAGTAGCAATGTCTTACCACTGTAAAACTCCTCTGTAAGGCTTCAGCATAACTCACATGATAGCTTGAATTAATAGTGCATTGTTTTTCAGGCAAAGAGAGCTGTTTTGAGCGTATAGTGTCCAGATTTGGCACTAACATAACTTATGTTGTGATTGGAGATGGCCGAGATGAGGAACATGCAGCTAATCAGGTAACTTCACTCTGAACTCTTATCTCATTTATCTTCCAGGAAAAGAAAGTTGCTTTGAACGAATAATGCAAAGGTTTGGCAGAAAAGTAGTATATGTTGTAATTGGGGATGGTGTAGAAGAAGAACAGGCAGCAAAAAAGGTAACCTGTCTTCTGAAATGTTGGTGTGATACATAGCTACTAATGCAAGCCTTCCTGTTTGCATTTCTGTCACTGTTGCACAAAATGACAAATAATTTCAGTCCACAGATGCAAGCCAACAAGAGCATAATGAGATCAACACTTAGATTAAAATGAACCATTTGGATTCTAGCATTTTATTCACTTCACTCTGGAAAAAAACAAACAAACAAACAAAAAAAAAAAACCCAGAAAATTATTTTTAAAACAGATGGGAAAATAATGCAGCAAAAATGTCTGACAAACTTCAAGCAAATTAAAAGATAAGCAGAAGAGCTAGAAAGGGTTATGATACAATGATTGGGTGGTGTTTTTCTTAAAATGCTGAAATTGGGGATGTTTCAAGAGAGGTGTTGTAGATAATGCGGAAAACATCTAAGAACTGCAATATTTTTTGCTAAGACAAAGATCCATAGTTTACTGGAGGAAATATGGGAAAAAAAAAAAAATTGCTTCAAGTAAGACATATCTGCTAAAGGAAAACGAACACAACATAGAGATTGTGCACCAAATCTGTGTTTCCAAAAAAGAACTGTTTCCTATTTTCCTCATTAGCATGATAATTCAAGTCTAATTTCAGGAGAGAAGTTTTTAATGCTCAGAAACAGATCAAATGAGTAATTTGTGCCGTGCTTCCCAGTATAACCCCTGGAAGTGTGCAGAAATTGAATTTTTTGCCTCACAATGTCTAGACAGGACCAGTTGCGTAAGTCTTGTTGTGCTAGGAGGAGCAAAATAAAGCACTCTCTTAGCATTGTAGTTGGAGTGGAAACAAAATGGAAATAACCAAAATGCTCATTCCAAATGGTTCCTTAATATAGGTGCAGTACTGGTGATGGGTCCTTTATAATTTTTGCTAAACAGTGGTGGTTGGATTGTGTGCTTTTCTGGTTGGGCATGCTTTTTCCTTAACATTGGCTATATTGCATGGATAGATGTAGAATTCAGAGATATGGATGAATATAGCACATTTCAAATAGATCTAAGCACAACATGGAAGTCTGGGGTTATTTTTTTTCCATTTTGATGAATTATTGAAGGGGAATAGTTCATATACCTGCATCATATACAGATCATATATAGATGCTGATGCTTTCTGCAGCACAAATTATCTTTTCTTAAACTAGAAATGTGTTATTTTCTTATCCAACGAGATTTCTTTTTCCGCCTGGATGGAGAAAAATGTAATTAGCTCTGTCTTGAAGTGTTGAGTGAGAAGCATCTTTTCATGGAAGTCTTACAGTTCTTTAAATGATGATTCAGTATTTTGCAGTCAAATAAGGGGAGCATCAAAGGATTTCCTATTAATGCTCCTTTGTATGGGCTTGCATGCTAACAATAAGCAAGTAGCTCTTAATAAGTAACTGGCATTTTCCAAAGAAACTCTTAAGAAAAGCTGTCATTCAACTATTTTAACTTCAGTTGAGCTACTAAGCCCAGATCTATTTTTGGCGTGATTTTTGTCAGTACTTGAATAACAAAAATCAATCCAGAAGCACAGTGGCGTAAATTAGGTGCTGGTAATCTCTAACTCTCGTGGTGTGTCGTATGCCGCCCCGCGTCACCGTGTTCATCTTTCCTGACCTTTTCCCTCCTCTAACAAACACAGCACAACATGCCTTTCTGGAGGATATCCAGTCATTCGGACCTCTTGGCTCTCCATCAAGCACTGGAACTAGAGTATTTGTAACTGTGTTCTAAAGCTGGTGATCCTTTTATATATATATATAAATATATATATATATTTCAAGTACACTGAATTTTTATGTGTGATTCAATGCCTCTGGCTTTACACATATGAATTGTCTTAAGAAGGGAAGAAATATTTGGAATTAAAAATTCCAAATTGAAGAATTCAGATTGCTGAATGAAGTTAAAACATTAGTGCTACGTAAGCTCTATGGTCTTATATATGCAACGTTTTTAAATGAATTAAAACTGTGGAGGTTGCTGGTACACACCAAGTGAGCCCTGACAGGAGTGAACAAAGGACTCAAACTGGCAAAGCACCAAAGCGCATTTTCCAGCCAACAAGGTGGTGTTCAACAACATTCCTCAAAATGGGATATATTCTCAGCACTGAGGTTTGAACCAGACTTTAGCCTACCTAACCCAAAAAATCTGAATTGGAATGCACTCAGACTGTATAATGACAATCCTGTCTAGACCTGTAATTTGTGTAAATTATTGATGAAAATAATTTACTGTGACTTTATTAGCAGCTGATTTTGGAAGTGGATGCAATTTTTCTTTCATTTTTTTTTTTTGCGGGGGGCGGGCAGGGGAGGGAAAGGGCTATATAATATTGTCTCTTTTATAAGTTTGGCAAACAGAATGTGCATATGATGTGTTGTGCCTTAAAGAGAAGACTGTGTTTGTGTGTTATAATGTAATTTTGGTTAAAAACTATGTAGATAAACAAAAAAAAACCTTTGTGATAATTTTTGACATGACCAAATTTGAAATTCAAAGAAATCAAAGAGCAGGGCTGCACCAAAGAATTTAAGTATTTGTTGCAGTGAGAAAAAATAATAAAGGAAAGTTTGTGTTTTTATTTGGATTCTGAATAATTCCACTAATTTTTTGAGAAAAGTTAGGAATATACTGGGAGGTTGATACTGGGGACCGCTACCTGGAAAGGTAAAAGAAGAAACAGTGTTTAACATCTTCAGCATCATTTCTTGATTCTCCAGCAAGAGAACTAAGAGCCATATTCATTCATTACCGTGTCCACTGAAAGCCATACAACGTATGTACATCTGCTGTGTATAACAGAACACCCAGCAGACAAGGTGTTCAGGTGGCATTACTGGAAAGTGAAAACTTGGAGTTAGTCCCAGATGGGGAGTAAAACACAAGTTCATTGGGAATGAAAAATTACTAAAGAAGCTCTCATCAGTCAGATTTGGAAATGATGCTACATTTAGCGTATTCAGGATCAAAACAAGCTGCTGAAATTGCTGGCTTGATGACATTGTCCATTTCAGGATAATAGTCCACTTTGGTAAAGAAAACAGCATTTTGGTAGCTTTTCCATTCTGTTCCACTTTTTCATGTGTTTTGTTTTGGGTCAGCATGACTTTTCTCATCCATTTTTGATTGCTCAGCAAAATTACACAGGGACAATCCTAAATGTTTTTGAATCAGAAATTTCCATAGTATGTCGGGCATCTGAGGAGAGGATAAGGAAGTGATTTTCATGAAGAAGCTTTGAGAAATATATCACCTTAACTTCCATATTTTCTGTTAAAAGTTACGGTCCATACAGCAATCCATCTTGCAAGTTTTGAACATGCTACCTTTCAGCTATGGAAAATGAGCAAAATCCACATTGCACACAGGGCCCTTAATATTCCATGTGCACCTTGAGCACTTTGAAACAACAGCAAGTGCTTTGTCTCTCATGGAAGAAGATGGAAACTATTTTTTCAGTTTTTAACACTGTATGTGGAGACACCTGGGGCTGCATGTGCACTGACTGTGTGAAGAGGTGTTTGCAAGAGAAGATGCTAAAGGCAAATCCAGGATGTCTGCACAAGCACAGTACTGAGGTGATATTCTTCCCTCTTTGTGCTCTAAAGCCATCATATGCCATAGTTACCAGGTAGTAACTTTGCTCATTTAGACTTTGTTGAGGTTTTGGTAGGTGAAAGCCTGGAGCCTCTACAAGTCCAAGGTGAAACTCCTCTATAAATTCAAAAAAATAGATTTCTTTGCTGTGTTGGAATTGGATATACAGGTCACCACACAACAGTAATTTTTTATCACTG